ATATTTTTAAAAAGCTTGGAACCTTTGAAAGATCTCTTAACTATCAACTTGACATTCTCAAAATGTGCTCATTACAGTATTTACCATCAAGCTCTCTTCTTAAGATGTAGAATAACCTGCCTCTTGACTTAAAAAGAAGCAACTCTCTAAGTATATTTAAAAATAGACTACTAAATTCTCTTTTTGAAAATTATAGGACAATGTGTTATAAACCGAATTGCTATTCATGTAAAACTAATTAGATATGTTTTAATATGCTTTGATATTTGTTGTGTACATGTCAGAAAATTACTTTAAACTCTAGTTATTCGAATTAATGTATACACTATTTTGCATTTGCACCCTGATCTCTAATCGTTCTCCTTAAATCTATTTAATTGAAATATTTTGTTATTATTACTAAAATTAGGAGGAAAATATAATCAAAACAGCCAAGAGCTATTATCTACCTAATTGCTTTATACTTGTACTGTTAATATAATTATCAATTTTGTGATTGTAAATCTCTATCTTATATCTATGTATCTGTATACAGATACATTTATTTTAGCAATAAACTTTAACTCATCTTATCATACTTCTGAGTATACCTGTTCTACCTCCACCACAGTCCACAATTTTAGAAGACATACAAATACTGGAATCAGACTAAAATAAAATTTAATACTATTAAAAAATAAATAAAATGTTTAACATATTGTTTGCTTGCTAGACTAGAACTTTGGTAATTTCAACTAAAAGATCTGCTGCTATGCTTTTTTCATGAAATTTTTTGCAATTACAACTTTTGTAATTTCTTGTAAAAAGTGAGTGGACCCCCCTCTCTGAAATTGTGTTTTTAAGACGGAGGACAGTGGTTGTTTAAATGAACTTCAAGACAATAGAGTCAAAAGGTTTGGAATTCAAGTTATGATATTTAAAACCATAAAGAAAGAAATGAGCAAATATTAATGCTCGGTAATTTGGGTTAAATTAAGTGCAATGTCTGGGTGGAAATCAGAAAAAGGCTTGCTGGCCTAGTGCTGTGGCCATCTTAATGTGAACAAATATATATTTTGTATTTTATAACAGGTAATTATTTACACAATTTGGCCTGCTGGGACTAGGGTTTCCGGAATTCCGGGTTACTGTTTACGTACGGAAATGATCCACGAAATTTATTCCATTTCCATTATGAAACGATTTTATTCCGTAAACCAGAAATTTTTGGGACGTTGTTCTGGAATTACGGAACGTTACTGAATAGTGTTTACGAAACAATTGTTCCAGAATTTTCTGGAAAAAAGTTCCAGAAAACGTTGAAGACATCTTAAACTTATGTAAAAGATAAAACCAGTAAGTAATACTACCAACAGAATACTAGAATGTGCGCCTGGTGTAGCTGTATTTAAAGTAATACTACTGTGAATTATCATAAAAAAATATAAATCCTGACTGACATGTCTCAAAATAATTTCATCTACTGAAAAACTGCGGAAAGGAAGACGACATGTATAGCAATTCTTGATTCTAATTGATGTTGTTACAAAGCAAATAGGTTAAATAGTAACTTATAAAATCACTTTTAAATTGGTCTGTATACACTATACAGTAGTATAGTATATACTACGTAATTGCCGTGTCTCATGTTAATTGAACACTTTAGAGTCATAATTTAAGTTTAGAAGTCGTTCTCCTTTTCCAGAGTTTTCTGGTTCTCACTCTATTTATATACTTTCTTGTCTGTTTGTTTGTCCGTTTGTATACAATAAACGTCCAAACAGCTGAATTGACCGAGCCCAACATTTGTGAGGCGCAACTCACAAGGCCCAAGGGAAAGTTTAAAACTAGTTAAACATTTATGCGGGAAAAAAGGTCGAAATTTATTATTTTTTTATTTCACCAGTTTATAGCCTAGTTTAAATAAACTCTTATTTACATGGTTCATTTCATCCAATCCCGGTCAAAAACGGGGGGGGGAGGGGGGGGGGGCATAAGCCTATCCGATGACCCTCTTGAAAAATAAAAACTAATTTGTCAAAAAATATTGTGGGGAAAGTGAAAACTGTAACTGTAAAATAGTCATGATGAACTATAGTGAAATATTTGTAAATATATAATTGTAAAACTATAAATGCGTATTTAATGCATGTCAACTAATAAGTTTCAACTTTTAATGTTTTAACATTGCTTTCTATGTCTAATATTGTGTTAAAATTTCCGGTTTACGAAATAGAAAAAGGAAATTTTATGGTTTACGTTACGTAAACCGGAAATATTTTTCTGGTTTACGAAATGGCAACTCAAAATTTTACGGTTTACGTTATGTAAACCGGAAATTTCGGGAAAATTTCCGGTTTACGAAATGGAAACTGGCAGTTTTATGGTTTCCATTCCCTAAACCGGAAAAATTTTTAGTTTACATAATGTAAACCGTAAACATTCCGGTTTCCATTTGATCCGGAATTATCCCGGAATTCCCGTTTACGCAACAAATTTCCGAATCATTCCATTTCCCAAATGGAAAATTTTTTTCCCGAAAAATGGAAACCCTAGCCGGGACCCAGGGGGAGGGGGGGGGGAGGGGTCGGAGAAGTTGTTCAATTATTTTCATTTTGTTTTGGTTTTCTGGTTCGCATATTGTAAGAAAGAAAACTATTTGAAACAGTTATGAAAATAAAGTTATATAAATTAAAGGAAAGACAGCAAGATTATATATCAACATTTAATTTTTTGTTTTATTAAAAACCATCTAGGGAGAAAGTTTGAAATTTGAATCTTCAAAATCCCCTCCCAGATTACTGAACATTGGGTATTTATGTACTGAACTGAATAACCTCCACTGTCTGAGGTTGTGACATATTGTACAGAGCGTTTCATTTCATATTAGATTATCTCCAATCATTTACGCCAAAATACGCACATAATACTTAAAAATCTAGCATTTTCTGCAAAATAATGTTCTATTAGCCTTATTAACTTTTTCAAAATGATTCATTCCTCTTAAATTATCTGAGTTGTCCCCAAATTGTAATTTAGACCCATTGATGTGGGACACCCTGTTCTTGATAATCTATTTGCTACCTAGTACCCAATACCCATCCTGGTTTATTGGATCTTCATTATTTGGTTGGATGAGCTAGTGAAGTAGTTTGTTAATGGTTCTATTCTACCAAAGTTGTCTGAATCTTTACAAGTTGCAACAATTTTGGAAAGTTATTGATTCTTTGCCAAAAACTCAAAGTTTCTAATCCTTTTTTCTTTGCAACCTGATGGTAAAACATTTGATATTCTAAAGCTTATGTTATGAAATATCAAGGTCTTCAAAATTGAAATTTACATATTAAAATTCAATATCTGTTTTCAAAGTTTTTTAATAAATGTGTCGTTTTAATAAAACTTATTTTTCACATTTTTGTCATTCATGTCTACTGTAGTCTAAACCCCCCCCCCCCTCCACCCCTGCTACTTAATTGACTGATAATTTGATGCAGTGCTATAATCTGGTATAAACTGGAAATGAAAAGCATGCATAAAAACTATGGTGGATAAACTGGATCATTTTATTTGACATTTGAAAAACTAAAATAGAATATGCACAATTTGTACTTTAAATATTTACCTTTTCTAAAGCTGAGGAGTTGGGATTTACGTCCTCAGGTTTCAAAGATATAGGAATTGAAAACTTTGAGACTTTTTCCTATTTTTTTTAATTTAAAATGATAAAGCAAAAACAGTGAAACAGATTACCTCTCAATTCTACAAAAACGCGGATATTTGTGGAGAATTTACAACAAAACAAAAAAATTTCCTGCAAAATTCAGAATTCTTCCAAAACGGTTTTTCCATTCCCAAGTTTTTTCTTATACTTTTTATATACTCCTTTATCAACTTTTTAATTTGCAATCAAACTTTTACTTCTACCTTGAAATAGTAATTTGTAATGCATAGAGTAATAGCAAAACATATTTTGCTTTGATTGCTACAGCCAAGTTAAAATTATTAATCAAACTGTTAACCTCTAACCATTATTCCTACTAACATATATGTCTAAACCCTGTTTCTTAAAAGAGGATAAAATCAAATTCTAACTAAATATTTAATAGAGATAACAAATAAAAACAGTATTTGCAGCAATGACTAAGCTGTGAAGTGAGTTTAAAAAACCTGAGAAAGGACCAATGGTATTTTTATGAAAAGTTTAGGGAAGAGAAGCCTCTTTACTTACTTCCAGTAAAGCAAAACAGTTCACAGAACATACTAAATATATGTTCAGATATCCCATTAGGGGCTGCACCATGTTCAGAGGGGAGATGGTGTAGGAAAAGTCAGTTTCCTGACTAAGGAGCATCTCAGTAATAGTTCTGAGTCTCTTAGACCGCCCCCCCCCTGCCCTGGCTTTATTGGTAAGGATAGACTTTATGTATAGTCCCTGTGGAATTTGATTTATAATTTTCAAATTTTCAAATATTTTATGCAAGCCCAAATTATTTTTGTAAGTTTTTGAATTTCTAAATCCATTTGTATGCTAAAAAAAGTGTCAACATATAGTTTCCAGCAAATTGGGGAAATTTTTTGAGTAAAGTTTGCGAAATTAATCAGCAAATCTGGCATTTTTTGTATTGCAAAAATTTCCATCAAAATGGAAATACTGTTTCACAAGAAAAAAAGTACGTCCTTAAAAAAGCTTGAAAAAATTGCAAATAGCCAAAACTAAAGTGAAAACTATACGTTTTCAAAACCCTTATTCAAAAGACAAGATAAGCAGGGTTAACCATACAGGACAATTGGACGGAATTTATACTGTCTCGTTTCTTATAATTCTGATTCCCTGCAGTTGTAAACTTTTTTTTCCTTGCCAATTAATTTTTTAAAAAGCTATTGAAAGGCAGAATAATTATTTTAATCTTGGGATAGTCATATTTTAAGGATTTCGGTCGTCTTACAGTCTCATCATTTGTGGGTAACCCTGTATATTGTTGCCAGTTTTCATTGGTTTCCTCTCTATTTGAAATAAAAGCAAAAAATATTACATTTATTATCTTGTTCAGGTTGTTAGCAGTCGAGAACCCCAGATATCATATTTGAGTCTACAACAGGTGCATTCACATAATTCTTCAAGTAACATTTGGTATCTGTTTTACTCCAATTAAAGTTAGTACATCCCCTGGTCGAGACACAAATACATCCACATTTATAGGCAGAATCTACTAGCACTCCTGAAATTTTTTAATGAAATACATTTTTCTGCATTCAAATAATACATGATCCAATGAACATTAAAATTGAGTGACAACTTGAATGTCACATTTAATTTTTGATATTTAATGCACCACATAATGCACAGGTAAGTTTAATGGAAGAAAATTACAATTTACAAAATAAATTTGTGTATTAATATCCCCTCCCCATCCCAAAAAATATAGAATACCTGCTAAGGCATAATCTGAAGTCAGTGAATCAAGTTTATAATCTTTTCATATCAAATATTTAGAAAAAAAAAATTTACTGTACATATTAGTTCAATGTTCAAATGATAAATTGCTAAATTTTTTGTAAAAAATTAAAAGTTTTGTTTAAAAAACTTTTTCCATTCCTGTACGTTTAACTCTGTCTTCCAAGCAGTGATGGGGAATACAACCTTTTTTAAAAAAAAGAAATTTTTAAATTAAATTTGATTAAAAATAACCAATTAAAATTGATTAAAAAAGAAAAAATCAAGGTACAATTTCTCAGACTTTTTATTTACTTATGATCCAGAGAACTGGATTTAGTAATTCCATATCTTAAAAGAAAATAGAAATTGATCATGCATTTGATGAATGTTCTTAATATTGATTGGTAGTTACCTGAAGGTCTTGACATCTCCCAAGCATTAGAAGAATTAAAACTTTCTCTGTTGAAATAACCAATTTTTTGACCCATAGTGCACTGATCATTCTACAGATAAAATTATAAAATTAGTCATCTCTGGTGTTTTGATTACTGTTGAACTTTTAACCTTTTACAACAATAAAAGCCATTGCCATGCAATCCTTATCATTTTGAGTGATGTTGAATATGCATTATGTTGCATGATAAGGGGATTTAATTAAAGGCATTAATCATGACCCCGAAAAGCAGATATCTGTCTACCTGGAATTCAACGATATCACAGTGTGGTAAAGCCACATACTGGAACAAACAATCTTGAAGATTCAAGGCCTTTGTTGTATATGGAGCATAGAAGGTTTTTAAACCTAGAAAATCAATATTAACTTTTATATCAATGTACTAAAATATCAGAATTGTTTACCAACTGCTTCAGTGAAGGATTTCCCAACATGAACTCCAACAGTACAGTTCTTAGTCAACACATCTAACGTTTTGTTTTGAATAGGCATTTATAATCTAAATTGAAAAATGATTACAAATTTTATCAACTTTGTCTGCATTTTGTATTTTCCACTCATAATTGTAAAATATTAAATCACATTTAGTTGATTTGGTTTCTAATTTTAAGTTTCTAGTTTTAAACAAATGTTCCTAAACAGAAAAGCAACCAAGTCAAAATTTTCATCTTTGACAAACCCATTTTACAGTCTGGAAAGAGGAAAAAATACTTTCTATGTCATCAAGATAAAAATTTGATAATTAACATAAAAGATCTGATAATAAAAACATAATTTGTCCAGCTTCTTGGCTTTAGATCATACTCATTCACTAGAGAGATTGAAAATGTAATCTTGGAAAATGTAACAAAGTAAAATTGTAAAATTTCTGTTAGAAAATTGACCAGATTATTAAAAGATTGGGACACACAGGACGGTTTTTTAAAGATGGGCACTTAGGGGACTGAAAATCAAACCTAAGAAATTCCTCTAAACCATCATGACAGAAAATCAAATTCATTTGTTTTAAGGTGTATTATAAAGATGTAACCTATATATGTAAAAATGTTATTTCTCATGTAAATAGGGTTTCCAGTCATTACTATGTAACGCGTAATTACGTGTCACACTTTCTTTCACTTGCGCAGAAGCATTACCGGTAATTACAAGTTTATTACGTTTACTAAAGAAAGTCTAGTTTTGTGTAATTAATGCATAATTATGTGAAATTACGTAGTACGAAACAATTCCGTAATAAATAAAGTACATATTAATTCTCAGAAATAATTATAGCAGGAAAGTATGTGTAAAGATAGCCCTCTACGACCATGTCAAACATATTTTGACGATTTTATTGACATTTTTTTTAAACAAGAAAGGTAAACTGGATAAAAGTAGGTTGAAATATTAACAAGTCGTCGAAAATTTATTGATTATGTATTTTTTTGATAAAAAAATTGTGCTCCCTTTGTTAAACTTTTTAGTTGTCGAACGTTAAAATTACATCAACATAGTATTGGCTGAAATTTCTGATTCAACTTGCATGACATTATTTTCCTTGTAAGTTAGTTGATTTATTTAAATTAAAAGTTAATACTTCAAAATTTCATAGATGTATTTATTGCAAAGTTCCACAAAATTACTTTGTAGAAATTACGCGAAATTACGGCGTAATTTTGCGAAATTGAAGTTTCGCTAATTATGTGTAATTAATACAAAATTTCGCAAAATTACCTCATAGAAATTACGCCATAATTACACGTAATTATAGTTTCGTTTATTAACCGTAATCATTACAAAATTTTGTGAAATTACGTTGTAAAAATCACACGAAATTACACCGTAATTATGCCTAATTATAGTTTCGCGTTTTATGCATAATCAAAGCAAAATTTCGCGAATTTACGTTGTAGAAATTACACGAAATTACAATGGATATTTCCCCAATTATGCGTAATCCTGCGAAATTACACAAAATGAAAATTATTACGTGTAACTGCACGTAATTACGCGTAAGAGAATAATCTATTACATTGGAAACGCTACAAGTAAACTTTCTTTAAGTTTTCATTGGTATCAAGCACTAAAACATATCTTAAAATTTAATCATTTAAATTGAACTAATAAAATTTAAAAGTGAAATTAAAAATATTTTAAATTATAACTATTTTATCAGGAAATGTCAAAATAATTTCAATTTATAATTTTCCAAAAAATAATTTAAAAGTTTTAAACCTAAATAGGTATAAAATCCCATTTGCTAATACCTCCTGGAAATCTGTCTTACAATGAACTGAGTATTACAATTCATATACTAAAAGTGTGATTAGCGGTGTCTGGTGCAAAATTGTACTTTTTTGTGCTGTATGGTGTTTTTTCAATATTTTTTGTAACTTTTCATTTTGCTTGGTACTCCTATGGTATAAAAGAAAAAAACTGCAATTTTTTTCTCTCAAAATCAAAAGTTCTGAAAAGCAAAAATGTGTGTTCATATTATTTCTATCAAATTCTAAAATTTTATAAAGATTAAATAACAGAATCACAGAAAATTTGCAAAATTGTAATAAGAAAATTCACAATTTTCAGTTCTGGTCTAATTTTCAAGGAAAAGTACTTTTAATCCTCTGGTTCCTTTCTTCTTGGTTTACTCTAAAGTTATAAATATATAAGCTGTTCAGTTGAAACCTCTAGAGCCACTGAAAAACTATTTTTCCTTAAAAATTAGACCAGAACTGAAAATAGCTAATTTTCTAATATCTAAACCATACAATGCTAAGGGTAGGATTTAGGACAGTAAAACCAGTTCCGTGATTAAAAACAGAAATGGTTATCAAATATTTTATTAATTTTAAGCTACAGGGCTAAGACTTATATTTTTGAAAAGCCCACAAAAAATGTATACATTTACATGTGTCATATGTTAATATTTGTTAAAAGTAAAAAAAACTATTTTTGAAAAATTTTTCGACATACTTTTTGAACTTTTTAAAATCCTCCCTTACACCCTAACAATTAAAGTTAGAGGTCTAATTTTTCATTTTATGAGGAGGCCTTGAACTAGTTGGACTAGGAAGATGTTTCACACTCCCCTATCTCAACTCTAAGTCCAAAATCTTGGGGGGGGGGGGGGGGTTAAAAATATGTTAGACAATAATAGCCCAATCAGGATAGGGAATATCAAAATGGTCACTCATTTCCATTAATTACTAGGACACCCTGTTTGTAAAATTAAAATTAAAATATACTTTTTAGATATGTAGCTTTAGTCACGAAAGTTTTGGGTTATTTTAGATTTTTTTTGCACAGACCAGACTTTTACCGCCCTATGCATAATAAAAAATTTACAAAAAATTCTTTCAAGTTCTATACAAAAAAGATCACGGTGATAGTGTTAAAAATAAGAGAGCTAGGGTTAATGTAATTTAAATATTAGAATGAAAGAAGAAAGAAACTAAACAGAACTAAAGCCTATAATGTTTATTGATAAATTAAATAATAAATTAGATAGATTTATACTTGCATTAGCTTTAAGCAAAACACACAATCTCAAATCTTAATATTAAATATTTGTTCGGGATGGGATAATACCAATGTCTAACCCTATTTCTGTTGGGGTGGTGGGGGTTAATTCAGGATTTAACACTGCTGATTTGCGGATTTCATAATCCTTGTCCGGGGATTTTTTCCTCTAGAATGTATCATACAGTTTTTTGGACATTTTTCTTTATAACTGGATTTTGAAGAAAAAAATTCAAACTTTACAATTTGCTATTTTTTTTTGCAAATTCTTAAGGTAAAGCATAAAAGCTTTCCAGTGATTTATCATTTGTCATTTTTGAATATCAACATGGGATTTAGAGGGAGGTTTTCAAGTACCCTAACAGGAATAGGGTTAATAAGAATTACAATTTCTTGAATAAAAAGCAAGCAAGCATTGAGATAATTTATATATTATTACACAAATTAAATGTTCAATATATATTCCTGATGGAATCATAGCAATGCATAAAGAAATTTTAAGACTTAAAAGCAAACCATTAAAGCCTATACCGATCATTAATAAATGTCATGGGATATATATATATATACTAGCTTTATGTATAAGCTAAATTTAAGAAATTTATGAAAAGATCAATACTCAATTTAATCATTAAATGAATGTTTCTGATGTGACCATAGCTATGCTTAAATAAAAAAACACAATTTCTTTCTTATGAATAAAACACATAGCATTTTGATAAAAGTGACAATGATATTTTAGTACATAGTTAATCAAAATTTAATAGGGTAATTATGCAAGCGCCAAGCAGAATAAGTACCCAGTTGTACATTTTATTATACTAGCCTTCCAAATAAATTGTGTACATCGTAAACAAAACAAAAATAATTCGCGGATTTCAAAATTATCAAAAACTTAATGAAGATCGAATTTTGATGGAGACAAATATTTGAAATTTTGATCATTCATAAACCTCCCAGCTGGGGCTCCGTGAGGTACCACAAAAAAATTTGGGCCCGATCGGTTCAGCCGTTTTGACGTTTATTGAATACAAACAAACAAACAGACAGACAAGCCAAATTTATACATAGATAAGCAATGCTACAACTTTTGACAGCATTTGTCATTTATTTGTTTGCTCTGAAACTCAGAAACCTGTGATGCTTAATGACATGGTACTTTAAGTAAAACACCCATATAAATTTCTTGCCAAGAGACTCTGATGCAATCGCCCATGTTACTCCATCATATATCTGGATTGAATTATTTCCAAACAGGGCAAGATTCCCCTTGTATGTATGTAAGCTGGGGCCAACTACGCTCGATTTGAGGCTAGCAATCATTCTCCAGCTCCTGCTCACCATATTGTAAACTTCTACAGCTGATAAGGGGTTATAACTATAAATATAAATATAAATATTAATGAAAGGGGGTATTGGCTGAAACTTAAGCAATTTAGAAGCTGATTGAGACCCATAAGACATAAACAGATCAAGACCAAATTTAAAACAGACCATATTTAGCAAATATGCAACCAATCTGAAAACTACGATAACCTAGAGGTTCCAGAGGCTTAGGTTTGCTCCTTTTTTAATTCTGTAAATTTAGTTTAACTCCATTTTTCAAGCAAGTTCAATGGATACCCATAATCAAGATGTTCAAACTTTTCATGTTCATAAACACTACTGATTTTTCATCATTAAATCCCATTGAGGGTCACATGTTTGAATCTTTTGAAAAATGCCTAAGAATTCCAAGTGGAATAGTATTTTGCTTCTGTGATATGATTTAAGAAAAGTTACAAAATATCACACCCCTATGAGCGGGGGAAGGCAGGTGGCCATGAGCCACCACTATTTCCCCTTCCGTACCACATATTAGCTTTTTTCTCTTCCAGCAGCCATGAGCCACCACTATTTCCCCTTCCTTACTACCACATTTGACTCTTCCGGGCTAAACTACTTTTTTAAATTGTATATTTAGGGCCTTTAAAGTGTGATTTTAAAAATCCAGCCGCGTCACGCAATACATATACATGTATTTAGATCTCAATATTTCAATGTTAATATGTAATAAGGATGATTTCTCTTAATGTAAACTGTAAAACTCTTTTTTTGCAAATCTAAATTCTGATTTTCACCAAAAATGGCTTATTTTTAAAAGCAATATGAATATTAAAAATGACGCACCGTAAAATAAACATCAGTATTGAAGGGAACCCTTGTGTGAAAATGTGCTATGTGTTAAGAGAAAATTGCAAAAAATCCCGTTTTTTTTTTACAAAATCTGTAACGCCTAAGTAATGACAGGAAATATTGTGATTTTTATAATATTTTCTTATTCTTCAGACTAACCTGAACAAATTGTCTCAGCTCCCTCAATACGAAAATTGACTTAGTTTACTTGCTAAAATCTAAATTAAACTACCTCTATTTTTACAATTTCAAGCAACTTCTGTAAATGTCGTCTTTTAAATGTGATGGCTATTTTAGATAAAGAGACTGGTTGATGTGAGAGATGAGATGAGTTGCTTAATGAGTGATTTTTCGTTGGATTTGTTGCTGCCACTCAATTCTTTTTGGTTTACTAATGTTTGTTGACATGCCTAAAGCCATATTTAAATATTTTCATGGAGGTTATTATAGGTCGTTTTAGGTCATTAGAAGTTCAAACACTAGATTTGATGCTGCCACTGTATTCTCTAGTTCCTAGCTTTCGTTTGAGATACATACAATGGTTAAAACATTTTCAATTTGGAGGTCATTAAAGGTTGTTAGAAAGTCAAACATTGGATGTGTTGCTGCTACTGTATTCCCTGGGTCCTAGCTTTCTTTTGATATGCTTAAAGCCATAGTTAAAATTTTTTTTTATTTTTAGAGGTCATTTTAGGTCATTAGATGGTCAAACACTGGATTCATTGCTGCTATGGTATTTCCTGGGTTCCTATCTTTTTTTTGATATGCATAAAGCCATAGTTAAAACATTTTTATTTTGGAGATCATTATAGGTCATTAGAGGTCGTTGGAGGTCATTAGAAAGCCAAACACTGGATTCGTTGCTGCTATTGTATTCCTGGAGTTACTAGATTTTAATTGATATGCATAAAGCCATAGTTAAAAGATTTTCATTTTTGGAAGTCATTCGAGGTTGTAAGAGGACATAAGAAGATCAATTACTGGATTTTTTGCTGCTACTGTATTCCTGGGGTTCCAAAAAAATGGAAGATTTAACCAAAAATTAACACACACCCCCCCCTACATCGAATGTGCCATCTCCACCATCCCCTTTATAAAAAATTTCATTGTAAAACAGTTTAAGAATTCAACACACAAAATATTAATCTTAATAGAATTGAAAAAATGGTTTGAATTGTGCTTTTGTGCATGATGCAACTGGATTTTTTTTATCACACTTTAAAGGCCCTAAATATACCATTTAAAAAAGTAGTTTGGCCTGGAAGAGTCAAATGTGGTGGTACAGAAGGGGAAATAGTGGTGGCTCATGGCTGCCAAAAGAGAAAAAAGCTAATATGTGGTACGGAAGGGGAAATAGTGGTGGCTTGTGGCCGCCTGCCTTCCCCCACTCCCCCTATAAGTCAATTCATAGGACGTTTCCAAAAATCTAAAATCTAAAGATGAAACAGTTGAAAGTCAAATTTGTAAATGATATGTTTTAATATATTTATCTTACCTGGGGTCAAATCCTCCTGCCACATAGATTTCTTTTTTATAAACACCACATCCAGGATGTAACCTACAAGAATGTTCAAAGTCTATTTTCACAGATTAAATTAATTTTCCTTTCAACAAGACAAAATTTATTAATTTGAGAAGAGGAGCCATGCCTTGAATCTCCTGAGAGAGAGTAAAATAATTGGGTTTACTGTATGTGTAATGTACAGCTTGTCCTAGCTGGTTAATACTAGCACAAGCCCTCTTTCAAGAATTTTGGTCAAAACCCCTGATCAGATTGATTCATAGAACTATTTTCAGTGATAATTCACTTAATTTATAAAAAAAAGATCAAATTTCAATAAACAATGTGGCAGAATTGCGGCCAAGCCCCCCTAAAAAAGGCCTGAGAGTAAAGGATTAGGGTTTAAATACATGCTCATGATTAATTATAGGCAAAAATTATACTACTAGTTCTATGCAAGTTTGCGTGCTACATACAGTTGGGCAATGTTCCTGGGGAACAATCGTTCTTTCATGAGAATTAACGATTATGAAAAGAACGAACAGAAATAGCTTGAAAAGAATGTTAAAATCAGTAACGCATACACATCATCATTAAGGTGTTCTAAGTTACATTTTAAATCAGGACCTTGCCGGGGCTCGCAAGGGGGGCCTTTAAACTAGTAGCTCATGTCTTAGAGTACAGTTCAGAGATGCCACAAAATTGAGATTCTCATTTGAGACCCCATAATTTTGTTGGAGACCCCCATATTAGGGGTCCCCGATAAAAATCTGGGGGTCTCAAATAAAAAAATGGGGGTCTCCAACAAACAATTGAAAGGTTTAAAAAATGAAAGGAAAGAAAGAGAAAACTTACAGTTATTTCTTCACTTTAGGTCGTGTACATACTGAGTAACATTTATAAGTTACAAGGGTTTATATAGACTCGTTGTGTGTGCGTAAATATTCAAGATTCGCAGAACAATATATGTTTAAAGGGTAAACTTCCAAGAATACACAGATGCAGTATTTTAAAATGCTGCACAATGGTGGTCTGCAATAAAAATATTGGGTGTCTCTAATGAAAATGTGGGAGTCTCCTACAAGAATCTGGGGTCTCCACTGAAAATCTGGGGACCTCCAATCAAAATAAGCTCTCATACAAAAATATTGGGGTGCTCAATAAAAATAAAGTTTCCTAGGAAACTCTGGGGGTCTCAAATGAAAATGTGGGGGTCTGCCAACAGACTCAGGGTGTCTTCAACAAGACCCCCAGAGTTTAGTGGACCTTGCTGTTTGAATTTCCTCAGGGGGAGGAAGAGCTGCTTCCGCAATCTTGATAGGGTTAAATCAAAATACAAAATTATGTATGAAAATAACTTCATTATATTTTTAACTTCACATTTTTTGAGAAATTGACAGTTTTGGACAGAAAGGTAATTTTCATTGCTATTTATAGTGCAAAACGCAGTTTACCTCTGAATAAGTAGGCTTGGTAGGGTTTCCATGATATTGCCAGTGACATCATATTTATCAACTTTTGCCCGACGATTCATACCTCCTAGCAAAATCGTTTCCGTGTCACTGAAAAAATTAATTTATCTTGAAAATTAATCTTAACTAATCTCATTTCATTTCATCTCTAACCCATTTGAAAATATAAAACATGATGAGGTTTCGAAATGTCTAAAAAAATACAACTACATAAAATAACAATTAGATAATTTTAAAATTTTACAATTTTTTGAATTCCACATGATTTAGAAAATATTCAAAAAGGCTCTTCCGTTTTAGAATTATTTTAGAGAGATGTCTCTAAGTTGTGTAAATGTTATGTTTTAGTTAATAATTTCCAAAAAACCTGCTTATTCATTGAAAAATCCATCTTTTCAAGGTCTGCTAATTGAAAAATGAGACCCCTATCTTCAATGGTTTGGGTTCAAAGGAGAATTAAAAAAAGTATGTCAGAAAATTTTTTTTGACAAATATTAACATGTAACACATGTTATTGCATCCATTTATCAAGGGCTTTTCATATATAAAAATTAAAGCCCTGTAGCATAACTAATAAAAAAATTATTAGGCATTTCTGATTTTTTTTAACACTTTCCCACCATTTGACTGTCCTCCACCCTACTTGTGCAATGTGCATCAAAAGTCATTTAAAGTCATTCAGTCAAAAAAACACAGTGGGGGGTTTGAGTTTCAAATTTGATTCTCTGGTGTCAACTTGAAATTTGCGGCCCGGTCCGGGAATCAAATTTGATCCAGCTGTGATCCCAGTATTTTCTGTGATTAAGTCTGATTCAAAATTGAAACAAGCAAAAAATGAATGAAATAAGCAATAAATATGTGGATTTGGACATGAAAGTGATTAATACATTTAAATTTGTTGCCAAATTAAATTAAATTGATAATTTTTAATTCTACAAATTAAGTGTATTGAATGCTTTAGATGTGTAAAAAAGACCATAGTTCAAGTTATTTTTCCTACTCATCCGTTTCTCCTCTCCAAATATCAATCCCCCCATGGGTCTTTTTGCGAGTATTATTCCTCCCCCCCCTCCACATATTGTAAAGTCGAGCCACAAAAAAAAATTTTATTTTGTATTTTCATGTTATACATCATTTTCTTGGAAATTTTATGCCAAATTCAAATAAGAAAAGCGTTTTTTAAAAAATTGAAAATTGAGTGAGTAAGAGCTAAAAAACTCATCAAAAACATTAACAAGTTAAAAAAACCTGAATTTAGTATCGTTATTTGGCCATAACTTCTTTAGATTTTAATATTTTAAGAAATGGTTTTCGAATCTGAATTCAGTATGAAATATGAAATTCAGTATGAAATATGTATCATATTTATTTTTAAAAAAATATTTTTTTTTAGGCCTTACAGCGATTTCTCCAATAATAAATCGTTAGTTTGCAACCCTATGGACGATTTTTAATTTTTTTTTATTACAATATTTTTTATAAAGTAAAAACGCAGCTACCTCAAGTGGGCGGCTGGCGGATTTCTAAAAAAGTCACAAATCTAGTGCCAAAATTGAAAAGATAGGAATTTTAGAATCTTTAGAATATTTACAGATGTATATATGGACAGGTTTAATTAACTTGAGACTATATCCTAGGAAGATTTCACTGATACTAATTAATCCTAGATAAATTAGAATAGATAGCTCATGCAGACTGTAAAGCTGAAAATTGTACAACCCCTTGTACATCATGAATTCGTCATTTGAAAAGGTCATTGAATATGTTTTACTTCTCGGGGTCAATCTGTAGAGTATTTTTTTTAACTAATTTATTTAAAGAAGTTTAATAAAAACTAGGCTTCTCCCATAAACTATTTGAGCTTTTAACCCTTAACAGGCTTGACCGGCCCTATAGTTTTTTTTGTACTAAGCACTCTAAATTTGTCACTAAAACCGTGAAATTTTGTGACTTTTAATGAATAGTTAATCTAAAGGATTTTTCTGTAATTTTTTTTAATGCATATGATACAGTGCGGTAAAAAGTCCAGTCTGTGAGACTTGTAGGTTTACACCTTTGGTTTGATTATGTTTATTTAATTGACTCTCGTCTCTCACTTTATGTGTCGCACGTGTCTCAGGGACGTGCTAAAGATTTCATGTACCGTGGAATAATTGTTCCTCTTTATTACTCGGGATAGAAGATAAATCCAGGTTTGAGTATTTATTTATCCTCCATAAGCAGGTGATAACTGAAATATTAATCACATTTAAATAATATAATAATAAGGACAATAGTCGATATTCAGTAAAATAAGCTATTTATAAGGCGCGGCTTTTTAAGAATTATAAATAAAAAATACTCACATTACGGACATTATCCATTTGCGAGAGAGATGGTCTAAATTCACAGGTTTACATGCTTGCTTGATAATTGAGGTCTAAAACATGATGACGTTAGATTTTCAATCAATTGATAATACATTTTTGAATATTTATATCTAATTACAATTTTTAGAAAAATAAATATTAATCACCTATAGGATCATTTTGAGGTGCAACAACCTATAGAGATCTTGATCGCTCACACCCAGCGATCTGAAGTTTTAAATCCAGATTAGCTTTTGTCACGAAAAAAGATTTAGATGTTTTTCGTGTTCAGGTTTTATATATTTCACATTATAGTTCAAGAGTTTTTTGTGAGCAATATACCCATTAAACCCATTAACGTAACTGACGTTAAATCATAACGTAATGTAACGTTACGTAACGTACCAACAATTGTAACGTTACAGAACGTTAAATAACGTAAATGTTATCTATATAACGTAAGCTTAGGTACCTTTACGAAGGTTGGTAACGTTAGTTTTAGGTTTATATTGAACTTTAAATTTACGTAATATATTAGCGTAAATTTACGTTACATAACACGTAAGATTTAACGTCAGCTTAAGGTTTTCTTTGAACGTCAGATAACGGTATTTGACGTATAATTGGGGTTCGTAAATAAACGTTAATTTACAAATATCTTACTTCGTTGTAAGGTTTAAAGTTTTACGTAATTGATATCCATGCATCGATATATACGTAACAAAAGTTTTGCAAATTTTGCGACTTAATCCATATCAATGCCTAGAACTTAAGCTATTCATATAAATTGCCCTTAACATTTCAAAAAATGTTTTGTGCGTACCATATTTCATGTGAATAGTTAATTATTAAGCATATAAGATATATTAAGCATTATAAGATATTTGAATCAGCCCCCTCCCCCCCTCCCTCCCCTANATGGAGTAGAGTGCCGTGCCTCAGCTCCAGCTGGTTGCAGGTTGTATAATAATCCGGCCCGGCCCGACCTGGAGCGCGCTCGATCAGGTTTAGCTGCTACAGGGTGTCCCACAACAAAAATAAATCGTTATTTTTAGTTTAAAAAATCTTTTGCTTCATTATCTTTTTACAAATTATGGAAAAAGACATTCTAAACTATTTACCAACTGTCATGTTTCGTGGGACACCCGGTAGCCTTATAGGTACCGCGTCCTCTTACTGTTGAATGTTGAGTCAGGGCGGTCACTGTTCAGTGTTCACCAGGCCAGTTACTTGCGAGTCGCATACCGACAAACACATCAGTTACAGTCTCCCTCACATCAGCTGCAGCAGAAGAACAAAAAACGAAGTTTTTTATTTTATGCGTCATTATGTTTGTTAAATTTCGAACAAATGTCACATGGGATAATTGAACAAGTTTAATCAACGATCAACGAAAGCTGGAAGCCATAATTTAAGAGAAATAATTAGCCATCACTGAATTTGATTTTAAATATGTTTAATAGAAGTACCGTGATTTTTTATATTTACTATTTATTTGTTGGTATATTTTTATCCTAGTTACAGTCTCCCTCACATCAGCTGCAGCAGAAGAACAAAAAAACGAAGTTTTTATTTTATGCGTCATTATGTTTGTTAAATTTCAAACAAATGTCACATGGGATAATTGAACAAGTATAATCAACGATAAACTAAAGCTGGAAGCCATAATTTAACAGAAATAATTAACCATCACTGAATTTGGTGTTCTCAACATAGTGTTCTCTATAGAACAATTAGGCAAGTACAAAGTATTTTTTACATCACAAGTTTAGTACAAAGTGTTTCCTACAGATTAATAGGTAAGTACTATAGTGCTCTACAAAACAATAGGTAAGAACATATGTGTTCTCATCAGAACATTAGGTAAGTTTGATTTTGTTCTTTGGTATTTCAAATAATGTTATTCAACGTAACTTTGGTGAAAAATGAGCATATATTTTGGATTGATAAAAATCAAATTTTGGTTTCTTGTAAACATATTGTCATTGTTACGTTAAATAACATTACTCAACCTAACTTTTGTGAAAGCTGCTTCCATATTTAGGGTTCATTAATGAATAGTTTAGTTCATGCACGGAACCATACTTTGTGTTATGTTAATTAACGTTACTTAACATAACTTCCGTGAAAACTGTGCCCATATTTGGGGTTTCTTTTGTGAAAGCTGCTTCCATGTTAGGGGTTCATTGACGTAAAAGTTAGGTTCATGTACGCAACTATACGTGCATTGTTATGTTAAATAACGTTACTTAACGTTACTTCAGTGGAAACTGTGCCCATATTTGGGGTTTCTGAACGTAAAAGTTTGGTTCATGAACGTCAGATAACGTTAAACTTAACGTTACATAACGTACCATTTTTACATTACATAACGTAAAAGTGGGTACGTTTTTACGTTCCTGGAACGTTAAATAGTGACGTTAATTAACGTCCTAAAAGGAACGTTATCTAATGTTCTGAGAACGTTATTTGTCTTGTTGGGAAATATCTCTAACCATAGTATGTCTAAGTATGAAAGAATAAGGTTCTTTAATATAGACAAAAAACTTAGTTCTTTTTATTTGTTGTTTTGGAGTTTGTTCAATGTGAAAATAGTATTTTAAGATAAAATTAGTGATAAATTAGTATTAAACAAGGTAAATAAACTGTAAATTCAAGCATCAAAAAGTATCCTAGAGGGCTAAAAGTAGCCTTAAAAAATTCTCAATTTAGCCTTTTCCTTCTTTTAAAACCTGGCAACCCTGCATTCTGTCCCCTGAGCCTGCGATTTAAAAGCTTCGGCTCGAGCCGTAATTCCTTAAACCCGACTTTAAGACCCAATCTTTGACCCAACTCTGACGACAGCTTGTGTCACGTGATTGACAGCTGCGAGATCTTAGGCTCGACTTAAGGAGTTAGGCCCAATGAAAATAAAACCGACCTTGGTTGGTTTTAGTGGAGAATAAGGCTCAATGTTGGGTCTTAATCTCATCAAAACCCGGAATGCGCCAATTCCAACTATGAAAATCCGCCAAATAGAATATTAAACCGGTTTTATGAACTAAACTCTGTTGAAAATTAGATGCAACTTAAATCTGAAAGCCCGAGACGTAAATAAGGCTCAACGACAGCTTAGACCTGAGTCGTATTTTATTGAATTTTTTAAATCGCCGGCTCTGTTCTGTCAGTGTTAGCTGTTATAGTTTTCAATCTAGGCAAGTGGCCCCTGCCGTAAAGGAAGCTGTGTGCCACTAGCCAGATTAAATCTGTCTGGTAGTTTCAACTTGGTTTAGACTTTTAGCTCTGATAAGAGACAAATATCAGTTCTTAGGGTTCAAGGGGATTTCATGAGTCTATCACAGTATTTTGCTTCTCAAATTCCTTAGACCAATATCATAACTTTCTACAGTACATCTGTTTAAAATAAATCTCTCTTTGTATAATGATACACAGTTTAAACTTTAAAAACACCCTTAGTAAATAGTGCACATTTAAACTCAAAATGTAGTTAAAAAATAATGGCTGTAAAAACTACCTTTTGAGCAAAAAATAACTTTTTTCATGAAAAAGATTAGTATTACAACCCACCCTAGGGTTATTGCTTGATCATTCCATTACTCATTTCTGTATACTTGATAAGACTAATTTTTACCTGATTCCTAAAGCACAGTGGGCATATGTTGCCACACTTAAAGTCTTGCCAAGGGTTGTCCAATTTTTACCATCAAAACGCTCAATCAAACCCAGGCTAAACAAGCAAAACAAAATCTTTCAATCATACTTTAAATAGTTACACTTATACAAAACTGCCTCATAGCCTTTTTCATGCAAGACTACCAGATAAAACACTACAAAAGAAAAAACTAGTTTAAAAAATAGGACTGTTCAAAGATTTTGTATATCATTTACAAGACATTTAAGAGATAGAATGTTTCTTAGATATGTCATTTCATTTCATAAATATTAAAGATAGGCTATTTCAAGAACATGACATTTCATAGAATATGTTTTGAAGAAATGATATTTTACTAGCTCTAAGAGCATTTCAAAAAATAGGATATTTTATGGATATGACAATTTTTTCATTTTTTAAATAGAAAAATTACATTTCATGTTTTGTACAATCAGTAGTAGTTATGTCCCTACTCTATGAAGACAGCTTAAAGATAGAAAACGTCATATATTTGAAATGACATTTCATTTAGATTCATAGAGTTTAAAAGTTTAGTAGTAAACATCTCTTAGTAAGAGTGTTCTAGGCAGTTGACACACTGCTATCTCAATTCAAGGCTTACACACAATTTAAAGTATAATTATGGAAGATTCTAGATATAATCTGCCTTTCGCCAATCTTGTGGCGAAAATGGGGCCAAAATCCAATGAAGTCCTAGATAATTCTTTAGATACTACCCTGGATGAAATGGATAGTGAGACCACTGTATAGAAACAAGCCAGTCATCAAGGCTTTCTTTATAAAGCTTCCAGGTCTGGGAAAGTGATTCTAGTTGATGGAATTTTAGGATAAATGTTTTATGCTTTTGATAGAGGTGCTGATAAAACCGGTGTTTTGGATACACTTAGTCAAGAGGATACAGAGGGAAATATCCAAGAAAATGAAAGATATCTACCATTTTTTTAATAATATCAAAAATTGATTAAGCTGGACATGGAAATGTTGTGGTGACATTACCTTTCACTTTCCATAAACCTAAGTTTCTGGCAAATAGTGTATTTAGTGTCAAGGCATTTCAGGACACCTCAAATGCTATAATGGATGAGAGGATGTCAGTGATGGAGAAGAAGATGGAGTTATTGTAATGCATTTGGGATAAAGTCTATGTCAATCCTGTACCAAGTTTTGATGCTAAATCTTACAGTGCGGTAACTAAAGGTACTGATGATTACAGTTGGACAGGGGCAAGATCAAAGAATCTCACAGTCCCCCTTAACCCATTAGTGACGAGACAAATTTTTTTTTCTGATCTTGCTGAAATTCACAGGGTTAACTCTTTATAGTGTCCATAGAGTAGATCTAAAGTTTCAATTTTTTTCAATAAAGGGTTGTGGAGATACAGAGGCAGGCACATTTTGTCCGGCTCGGACCAGGTCAATTTTGACCGGGTTCCGTATCTCCACTTTTCTTTATTGAAAACACATATATTCATATTATTCAAAACTACAAAATAAGACAATAATAAGAATAATGAAAGATGGAATCAAAAATCCAGAAAAAAATATTTATTCATAAGGAAATAAGATATTCAAAAAAAGAGAACAAAATCAATCTGACAAGGTTCACACTAGATTTACACTCTTGGGAAACACAGTTTAAAAATAAGTTCGATTTACTCTTGAGATCTTTGAAGGCACAGTCTTAAAATAAGCTCGATTTTTATACATATAAGAATATAAGAATCATTTTAATTCACGTGGTAATCCTTGAAGCAGTGCTGATGCAATGGGACCATGCACTTCTCGCACTTGAGAATTGTCTTGCTGTCCCGCTTCCCCTCATTTGTGCAGTGCTTGCAGTTCCTCCTACTGGACTTCCCCTGACTGTTAGACTCAGTGGACACTATCCAGTGGTTGAGGCCGTCATACCTTAACCCATTGGTGGGGCCTGAGCTGAACCGTGTTCTTTGGGGCATGGTGCCGTACTTGCTGAACATCTGGATCACCAGCTCTCGCAGGAAGTTGAGGTAGGGCTCTTTGTTGCCAGTAATCTGTGAAAAAATAATGTCCAGTTTATTCTTTTGAAATATTCTATTGTTTATCATTTTAATTATGAAAGAAATAATAGCTTTTTACCCGATTACGAAGTCTCCAGGCGTTCACAGCACTGACGCTGAGACTCCAAACGTATATGTTGAACCACCATTTCTTCTTTCGGTAGGGGACTCTGTAGCAGGCAACCATATTGTCTAAAAGGTCAACTCCACCCATATTATGGTTATAGGCCTCTATCATCTCCGGTATCGGAATCTGAAATATCAAAGGTCTACAACATCAGGTTGTAAAGATTTAGAAAATTAAAACATTAGAGTTTGTGGCAAAAACTAATTTCCTTTATATACTTCTAGAGGATTTTACCTGAATTTTTTCCACTCAGTCCGGCAGAAACGGCCAACAGTGTTGGTCCTCTCAGCAGAGTACTTGTTGCTTGCCACGTAAACCGGCTGGTTGTCCTTCCAGCATGCTAAAACCTGGTCACCTTTGTAGAGTGTCTCCTGGAAACCCCTTTCCACTGACTTCTTTATAACATCCTTCTTGGAAGCGATGGGCACCTTGAACAGTCGGTTTTGCCGAACTGTTCCTGTTCCAGCTATACCCATCTCAGACAGCTTGTCCAGGAGGGGGAAGGTCATGAAGAGGTTATCGAAGAAAACTTCACATCCGACTGGAAGCTGGACCTTCTGTACTAGGTCCAAGACCACATTAGGACCTTGTCCCAGGCCAGCATCAACAACATTTGTGTGGCGGCCACAGTATGGCTCAAAGTGAACACCACAACCATCAGCAGTGCAGATAGCCCAGGCCTGAACATTTATACAATTTTTTTCACATTTAATTTAAAAAATATACAATGTATTAGTGAAAACTTTACAATGTACTGTACAGTGTTCATTGTACTGTACAGGACAGTTTACAATGTACAGTACATTGTACATTGTACATTGTACATTGTACATTGTACATTGTACATTGTACAATGTAAAATACAGTGTACAATAAAAATTGAATTAGTCTTACCTTGTAGCCATATCTGATGGGTTTTCCTTTAATGTACTGCTTAGCCGAATGTCAGCCAAAGTAGGGAATCATCACTTCATCCACGCTGAAGTATTGTTGGTCTCTAAACCATTTGCAACTGTTTTTGTTGAGGTTATCAAAGATGGGCCGGACCTGTAAAAAATATTTCAAGTTAGAGTCAAACTAAAGTGCAGAATTTTTACTTCTTCAAGAAATATGTCAAAATATATTGTTTTACAATGGTGTTGGAGCAGGATGGAAAAAGAAGAGTTCAGAAGAAAACAAAACAAATAAATACCTTGTAAAAACCATCCTCATTGAGTTGAGCATTGTCGCAGAAGTGAAGAGCCTTCATAACAGCTTCAAGCTCGTCTCTTCTGAGACAAAAACACATTAGTAAAAACTAAATATAATTTTTTTAAGAATTCACTTTATGCATAGTAAATACCTTATGCTTTCAGCAACCAGCATGTTGCGACAGTCCGGCTTGTCTTCCCAGAGCATCCTTCTCCTGGGGACTGGAGCATACCCACCATGAAGCAACATGGCCTCCATGCAGCGGTAGTTCGCCAGGTTCATGCAGATCTGGGCTTGCCTTATATCCTTTTGTGTAGCATACAGCCGAGACTGGTGGACGACCTGAGTGACAAAGCTCTCTGGCTGGAAGAGCTCGTAGTATCCCAGGGCAGTGAGGCCCTCAAGCTCCTCCTTGTCCTTGTCCCAACTGAAGCCGGTATAACCTATTGACCTGCCACCTATTGGCAAAACTCGGCATATATGTAGGAAGGATCTGGAATAAAACGAGACGACATTTGGTTTAAAAATGAAGGCGCTAAAAATTAAAAACCTTACCCGGTCAAAATTGACCGTCCCGTCACGAATGGGTTAAAGCAGTAATGGGTAGAGAAAGATCTCTCAGAGTATAGCGAGGATCAAAATGATGGAATCAACTCTCAAAACAAAAGAAGGAATGTAGGGAAGCCAGCAGTCTCTGGATCCAATACTCTAGAGAAAATTAGAAAGATTTAGGCCCCTCAGGTTGACCACTAATCAGAATATTGTGGATTACCTAGATGAAGTTGATATTAAGATAACAGTTGGTGAAATTTTGCAGATGTCTAAAACAAAAGAAACATCAAATATACCAACTGAAAATCTTGAGAAAACCTTGGATCCCTCTGTATGGCCCTTGCGAGTTTGTGTCCGTAAAAATATCCATTGTTGGAAGCGGTATTCTGATAGAAATGGAACCACAAGTGTATCAGATTCTGAAAGAAATGGAACCACAACTGTAAAGATGAACAGTACTACTGGTGGTGTAACATCAGTACAATGAAAAATGGATAAAAAGCAATACTATCAAACTAAAGACATCAAGGAATAGGATACTTTAAAATTCGAATATTTTTTTTCCACTCCTCTAAAATTCTTTTAATACATTGGTAAATGGTTTTCAGACTTAAAAAAAAATTAAAAAATAACCTTTTCATTAGGGATGTTGTTGGATTTTCCTCGTATGGGGCCGATAATGTAAGTGGAAAAAACAACAGTATTTGGTCCAGGATAAAGGAAGTTTCTCCAGGATGTGTTCAGTTGAAATGTGTTTGCCATTCTTTGGCTCTCATAATGAAGCATGCATTTACATGCATTCCATCTACAATAGGATTTCTGTTGACAGAAATTCCAGCTCACTTCTCTATGAGTTCACTAAAGAGGGATGAATTTATGCAATTGTTCTTCACAATGAACCCTGATCATCAGGGTTTTCCAACACCTTTAGAAAAATTCTGTAAAACCAGATGGTTAGTTAGGGGAAAGATACTATACAACATCTTAGTGAACTGGGAAGAGTTGCTTGCATACTTCCAGCTCATCATGGATACAGCTCCACCTGGCCAGAGGATGAAATAAGACAGATCTATCAAACATTGAAGGTAATTCGGATTGTAGTTTACAACAATTGCATAATTGCATTCATAATTCATTTATTGAAATCTAAACAAAAATATAAATGTTTTTCTACTTTTTCAGGATCGGAGAAACTTCTTGTATGTTACATTCCTGACTCCTATTGTCCAGGAATATGAAGCTGTAAATGCCAGTTTTCAATCCTCTTCCCTTGATGTTGATTTGCTTCGTTCAAATCTAACTGTTCTCTACAAGAGTACAAGAGGAAGGCTTTATGAGTCAATCTTGGGAAGAGATAAGATCAAACATAAATGATAAGTTACAAGGTAACCTTTTTTATTTCTAGCTGAACATTGTATTTATTTACAATGAATTAACTGTACTATTTTTAATTGTGGTCTACAAAAGATTAATTTAGAGGATTGACTATGGTGTGAAGTTCAACCATGAGCTGGAAACTGCTGAAATTAGACCCAAGTCCAAGGATGAAGTTAGGGAGGTATGTAAGAAGTTTTTGCTGATCGCTGTGGAGCAGACTGAATTACATCTCCCACAGACAAACAAGATTCTAGCAAACCAGCTCAAACTGAGACCATCTGAGATTGGAAAAGTTTCCTTCCAGGAACTCCCCTTCTCTGAGTTCATGAAGGACCAGGAGAAAGTTGCGGAAGGCTGGAGAAAGGTTGTACACATGAACTGGGAGGAGCTAGGAGAGAAATGGCAAGAAAATCCTACAGTATTTTGGGGGAAACTTTGCTAATGGTAGATGTCAAAGTCTACTACAGTCAACAAGAATGGGTTCACACCCTTTGCTACTGGTGGATGTCAAAGTCTACTACAGTCAACAAAAATGGGTTCACACCCTTTGCTAATGGTGGATGTCAAAGTCTACTACAGTCAACGAGTATGGGTTCACACCCTTTGTTAATGGTGGATGTCAAAGTATACTCCACTCAACAAGAATGGGTTCACACCTTTTGCTAATGGTAGATATCAAAGTCTACTACAGTCAACAAGAATGGGGTCACACCCTTTGCTAATGGTAGATATCACAGTCTACTACAGTCAACAAGAATGGGTTCACACCCTCTGCTAATGGTGAATGTCAAAGTCTACTACAGTCAACGAGAATACATTGCCTTTTGTTGAATCAATATGTATTCATAAGTTCAATTAATGCATTCCTGAAAATGTTTTGATTATTTAAGTGCTGACTAATTATCTACTTGTAAATGCACAATGAATGTATTCTTAGCTGAGTTTTCAATATGTGTACTTTGTTTCAACAAATACGATCAAAACAAAATTATCAAACAATATATTTTTTATTGGCTCATAATAAATTTTCTTTTGTGTTTTATTTTAAGCTGAACCATCATGCAATATTATTTTGTATTTTGTGTTTGAAATAAATACTATAACTATAACTATAAAAAAGCTTCCAGTTTTCACTGAGCTTGCAGAGTATGCTCTAGCAGTATATTCTCTCCCCTGCTCTAATGCTCAGGTTGAGCGTGTATTCTCCATTATGACATATGTCAAAACTAGATTGAGGAATCGCATACAAGTCCCAATGTTGAATAGCATTCTATTTTTGAAATCTTACCTTCAGGCAATGGTTACCCCTCACAACTTCACAATATTTACTAAAGATGCATAAACATCTTTCCCCCCTTTTTTATGTGTTGTGTGTATACACTATTTAACTAAATATCCTAAAAGTTAAGGAAGGGATATTTAATAGACAGTATAATTTAAATTCTACCTATCATTGAAAATAAAACTTTCCTTGCCTGTAGGCTCGCAGCATCTGCTGCAATAAGTTTGTTTAGACGCATGAACGTTACAATGTATTCTGAATCTGATAAGGGTTCTCATCATCAGACCCCTGAGGAGGTTAATGAGGAGGAAGTGTTTGTAACCATAACATCTCTTCTAGATCAAGCATATTGATATATCAATACTTATACTGTAAAACCCTTTTTTTTATGTTCTGAAAAATTGTTGCTAAGCTTAGTACTTAACTTGTTATTTTTTGATTTTCTTTACATTTTTTTGCTAAAACTTATGATTCACATGTAATTTTTACTTACTTTATGCTTAATTTTGTTATTTTTCAGTTATAAAATGCCCTTATTTCACTGGTTTTGAAGTGGTTATGCATAAAGAAATCTGGTTCCCAACTGGTGAAATTTGCAGTTCTGAGCAAAATTTTGGAGTTGGCAACCCTAGTAACTCGTGATGTCTATTGTGCTTACATTCAAAGAGGATACAGTGGTCAAACCTGGACGGGGTAAAGGGGGTCTTGCTACGATGTGGAAGAATGGACTCATAAAATTTGTTTGTTAAATCAAGTGTGATTTCTTCAGGATCCAAACTACCCGACAAACCAAATTTCGTTTCTAGAACGTTACAAAAACGTTATGTAAGGTAGCGTTACGTTATGGCTTCGTTTTCCTGATACGTAAATGCTACGTAAAACGAACCACTTTTTACGTTACTGAAACGTTTTCCAGTATCGTTTCCCAGAAACGTTTTAAGATCGTAAAAAATTCGAACTTTTAACGTTTTAGTTACGTAAAACATTAATAAAAAAACCTTTCAAATTTTGTTTTAAAATGTTCAAATGCAAAAAAAATCTGAAGAAAAAAATCTTATATAAGTATATATACTTAGTACTTCTTAATATTCTATAAAGAACACTAAATATATCTTACTAATATAGAGAACACTAAATCCTTATTTTTTTTTTAAATCCATTACGTAACTTTACGATTCAGAAACGAAATTTAAAAACTTTTTAAAAAGATTAAAATTTACACATTTTGACGCATGAATTAATTAACACATAGGAATTACATAAGAAATTTATAGTTGACAAATACAATTGTTCATTAGCATACAATTTGGATTAGTATCCAGAAATGTTTCAAATACGGTTCTAAAACGTTATGTAATGTTACGTTTCATGTAACGATACAGAAACAATACAGAAACAAAGCAGAAAACGAAATTTCGTAAGGTACGTAAGATGGTTTCTCGGGTACAAAATTTAACTTTCCCAATGCTGAATTCTTAGTATTAAATTTATACTTAATGGTGGATTTCCAAAATAATAATATTAATGATCTTTGAACTGCTATCTCTCCCGGGTGAAAAAGACAAAATATTGTCTATAACAAAATGTAAAAATGTATAAATTGTGATTTTTCTAGAGCTACACAATTTGTGCAAAGTATTAGAACATTTGCAGAGGACAGGCTTTGATATATCTGGAATCTGTCAGATAATGATCGAATTAAAGAAGTAAGTTACACAATATAACTCACACTTCCACTATTGATCATTTCCTCAGTAATGAAAGATTTTATAGTTCAGTTAGCAAAGCTGGTGTGATAATTCATCCAAATAATATGTCTAGTCATCTTCCTATATTCTTTAAGTTTGATATGGATGAGCTTACCCAAGTAACAAAAGTGAGGAATTTTCCAAGATTCTCCAGCCGTGGTGACTTCCTTTTGAGGAATTTCCAAGAAAATTCTCAAAAATCATTTCCTGTAACTGATTCCTAAGAAATTCTGAAGAAATTCTTCGGAATTTTTCCCCACAAAATTCCTCAGAATTTCTCCAGAATAAATACCCAGAAATTCCTGAGAATTTCTTAGGACTTAGTCGCCATGTTTACTGATTTTTAGGGGAATTTATGAAGAGAATTAGTTTAAAGAATTACTCTGGAATTTCATCCCAAGAAAATCCTGAAAATTTCTCCGACTACTTCTCCGGAAATTCCTGAGAAATTCTTAGTACTTGGTCACCAAGTTTACATAATTTTAGGGGAATTAAATAAGAGAATTATTTTCAAGAAATTCCTGGGAATTTCTCTTAAGTTTCACAGCATGAAATTCCTGAGAAATTCTCCGGAAATTCCTGAGAAATTCTTAGGACTTGGTCACCAAGTTTACTGATTTTTATGGGAATTAAATAAGATAATAAGTTTTGAGAGATTACTGAGAATTTCTCTGAAATTTTTCTCAAGAAATTCCTAAGAAATTCCTAAAAAATTCTTAGGACTTGGTCACCATGTTTGCAGATTTTAAGGGGAATTTAATAAGAGAATTAGTTTCAAGAAATTCCTGGGAATTTCTCCGGAATTTCACCCCAAGAAATTCTGAGAAATTCTCCTGAATGCTTCTCCGGAAATTTCTGGAAAATTCTTAGGACTTGGGGAATTACAGGGGAATTAAATAAGAGAATAAGTTTCTAGAAATTCTTGAGAATTTTTATGGAATTTCACCCCAAGAAATTCCTGAGAAATTCTCCTGAATGCTTCTCCGGAAATTTCTGAGATTTTCTTCTATTATGCACTGCCCTAACTAAATCTTTTTTTCTTTGAATCCTTATTGATAAAAAATGATAATTTACTTAAGAACCATCTTTTTAAAAAAATATTTAAAATTTGTTTTTATTTTTTATTTTTTCTTGACAATTTAGTTGTCTGAATAAACAAAATACATGACAACTTCAGTAAGATCAAAAACAACTGTAACATTCTGACTTAAGAAGATGGTTATACTTTTAAAAAGTTGGAGGGGCAATATAGTTGTTAACCCTATCCCCGCTGGGGTACTTGAAAACCAGGATACGCTGGGGGGGAGGTCAATTTGACCCCCCACCTCTAAATCCCATGTTTTATGTCCAAATATGCAAATGATACATCATTAGAAAGCTCTTGTGCTCTACTTTTAGAATCTGCAAAAAAATTTGCAAATTTGCGAAAATTGAATTTTTATCGCAAAATCCAGTCTTATAGTAAAAATGTTTGCAAAAAAAATTTGTCCAAAAAATGACAAATTATACATTTTTGAAAAGCCCTTGACCATGCCATTTCAAATATGCAAAAATTTTTGCAAAATTTTAAATAACCTGATTTTTAATCAAGAAAAACTAAAAATGTGCAAATTTCCTTTGACAGGTTGTTTGCAAAAAATTTGCAATTTTTTTCGCAAAACTTGTGCAATCCGTTTCCTTATGTCATAGGCTTTCCAAAAAGCTAAATTTTATCAAAATCTGACAAGTGAAAGTGGGTCAAAACAAAGATTTAGTTTGCTACAGGCAAAAGCAGTCATTCAGGCAGTGTGCCTGAGGACTCAGGCAGTTAGTATTAAAGCCCGGTTTTAGACCTAAAGGAAGGGCTTTGGGTATGTAAGAAAAGTCAGAAAATTTCAACAGCCTCAGACCAATACTTTTTGAGTTATGTAAAAAAAACTACAGGGGGGGGGGTCAAATTGACCCCCTCCCCCCAGCGGGAATAGGGTTAAGTTATTCACTACTATTGGGTCTAAGTCCTGGTTAGTGAATTTCTAGATATTCCTAAGGAACTCTTGAGAAAATCTCGGGAATAGTTCCTAGGAAATTCCCAGGAATTGGATCTGAAGAACTTTTCGTTGGAAATTCCCAAGAATTTCCACAAATTTTGTCGACATTTTCTCCGGTTTTTCTGCAAAATTGTTAACAAGAAATTCCCTGGAATTGGTTAAAAGACATTCCTTGGATAGAGTTATGAAAAATTCCTCAGAATGAGTTACAAGAAATTCCTTGGAATAGCTGTCAACATTTTCACCGGATTTTCCTGTGAAAGATTCCTGTAAACATATTATTAAAGGTACTTCTAGATGTCTCATTTTTTTTCTTTAAGTTAACTATATTAATACCATTACAATTTTCTGACAAACCAAACAAATAATATGTTGGACCCAATTAGCTTTCTTCCAGATCCTGTAAACGATTCTTTTCACAGTCTAAATATCTAATCTACAGACTTAAACTTTTTAAGCATGTTCAACAAAAATCATCAACTCAAAAACTTTGCAAATTTGGTTTGAGAAACTTTCAGTTACATAGATCATTTAGCGTTTGTGGGGTTTTTGTGGATTTTTTCTGCCATGACATTTTCTTGTTCTGCCTAAATTAACACTCCAGAACACTTTTTCCCTATTTGTCCATTTCTAGTCTATTGCCTTGTCCATATTATAATTATGTCAAAGGTGTATTCTTTAAATTTGGAAAGTTTTTTTTGAGTATCAAGCACTCAAAGTGTTAGTATAAAACACATTCCTGTGTTTTTGTTTAGCAAACTTATGGAACTTATAGAAATGTTTGGAAAGTAGTTAAAAGAAACATATTTAAAGAGTGGGACAGGACAAGGAGATCTGACTAGTTCTAATAAATTGATGCTCCTACACAGAATTAAGAATTTCAGATGGGCACTTAAACATGATGACGAACCAGAAGATCTAGTAAGCAGACAACACAAGCATTCCATTCCAATTAGAATTCAAAGAAGATTATCAGGAACTCCTTGATTCCTTTCACTCCCTATGTAAAGAGACTGGATATGCTATCAACCAATGTTGCAAAAAAAATGAACTTGGAAAAGGGAAAGTGGATGAGTAGGTAAACATATGGGGATTATGCTGACACAGAAAGAAGAGAACATCTTAGAAATAAACTTCAACTTTACAGTCAAGCAATTCATTTATTCATATCTCTACAGCTGTAAGATATTCATCTGGTTTAGATACAGAAGCACATATTTGAAGCTATCTGGAGGAAGAAAAACAATATGGATAGTAGTTTCCACAAATAAACATGATTCATCTTGGATTGATCTATATATAAACTTTCTTTGGTATTAAATTAGATAAGGTCATACTTCAGGTGTAGTCCTAGTTCAGACTAATACCGTATATTTCTTATATCTTTGTAACCTTGTTCCTTCCCAATAAATAAAACATTAATCTAGCACATTTGTATTTATTAGATATTTTTAATCACACAAACATATTATTAATATGATACTGTTATAAAGTCAAATGAGTATTGGCCATGATCCTTTTTTATTAGCATCATGATCAAGATCCCTGGGGACCTTATCAAATGAATAAGAATATCTTATTTAGCATCATGAGCAGGATCTCTTGAGATCTCTGCAATCCTATCAAGCTTGGATCCTATCATCTTAAGGAGGGATAAACCCTCTAATAATATCTCATACTCAGGGATCAAGTTTAACCTCTGTTGCTCCTCCAGATATCTCTTCATCCTCAAAACCTGCACAAACAAACAGTCCAATATCTTTTCCCTGGTTGAATGGAGGAACTCATGTAACTGGGCTCCATGACGTTCAGGAGGATCCCAGATACTAGGGATATGAGGTGGAGTAAGTGCCCCTTCATCAAAGGGCTAACAACAATCTTGATCCTCATGATCCACATGATCTCTCAATGAAGAACTCCTTCCTTCTATTCCAGGAATGTTTATCTGGTCATCATCTGATGAAAGGTCAGTCTCCAGGCTGGGGACACTTTCATCCTCCGACTCGCTCTCATCCTCAGCTGCATCCTCATCCTCTTCAACTACATCTTCAGCTGCATTTTATCTGCATCTTCAGATGCATCTTTAGCTGCACCTTCACCATATCCATCATTAGGCTTCACTCGGTATGCAGGATTCATCATCATCTAATCTTCACTGCTCATCTTCATGGGAACTCACTGTAAATATATAAATATCCTGTACGCTGTATGTAGCACAGGACCCAGAGCAGCTGTATGCAGGAAACTTGTGTTTACTGCAGTGGCTCGGGTTGTACTAGTGTCTAATCCGTTCTGGTCTCTCCAATCTCTCATTGTATCTAAGGGAACGTTCACCCTTTTTTTGGATCAGTCCAGAATGCAACATTATGAAAGGGAGACACAAATTTGAAAGTAGAATGAGGTCCAAACATAAGGTAAACCAAGATCAAACTGAACTTATTGCATTTCAATTTAGGTGAAGAAAAATTAGGAAATACTATTATGAAGAATGGCTAAAACTAAGTTAAGCCATGATAATTAGAATGGAGACCACTTGCTCAACATGGGATCTGTAGAAATGAGAATGGACAGAAGGAGGGGAAGATGAGATTCTAAAGCTAAAATATCTGTTAAAAAGGACTTAAAAATTACCTTGAGCCTCCCCCTGGACTTCCTCCAGTCATCAGAATGTAGTCCCCTACAGCTGTCATAGTCTGAAATTTTCTACGGGGCGTTAAGCAGTCCAGTGTTTCATCCCAGACCCCAGAAACCACAATACTTCGATGGTAACACCTATTAAAGATTAGTGTACATTGATCACTACATGGCAAGCTTAATTTTCTTTTTATGACCCTTCAACTTTATTTATCCTTGACTGTTTTTACCTTTAATAAAACTTTTAATTTGGGTTTTAACAGAAAAGTCAGGTTGTCAGAGATTATTTGAAGATTCTATTGGGTTGCCAGAACTCCATCAACAATATTTGTGTTTGTACCTCTTTTTAAGAATACAAGAACCTCAGCATCTCAATATTAATTAAGTCTAAGAGTTTCCAACCCAATTGTATTTTTACTTTGTCAAATTATGTGTAATCACACAAAATTATGCTGAATTACCTTAATTTCATATTTCAGAAAATACAAATAATTTTAGGTAAATATGACCTAATTTTTCAACATTAAGCAAAATTACTTTATTTATAAGGCATTTCAATTTCGCAAATTCTAACCCAAAGGAATGGAGAAGGGGAGATGAAGAAAAGGTAGTGGGGAGATAGAGAGATGGTGGAAGGAAGACTGTTTTGAAAACTGGTGAAAAAAGAGGGAGGGGGAGTATGGTGTATGGGAAGGGGGTAGATAAGATATCAGGACTTGTAGAGAGGGGGTGTTAAAAATACTGTAAATAATTTAAGATTCAATGCTTATACATATTTATATTCAATATCTATAAATGTGTATTTAACAATTCCATATATATATATATATATATATATTTATTGGTTTTAGTTCTGCATTATAAGTACATGCTCTCCTTCAAATTAAGCAAATCGGTGTGCTCAATGTTAGAAACTGCAAGATTATCTATATTGAAGACCTAAATATATTTTTATCAGTGGAAACATTTCTAACTTTGCCTGTATATATAGCAGACAAAACAAAACCGATTATATACTTATGTTGACGGCAACTTTTATTTTAGTGCAAGGGAGAGGGAGACAAGTATATACTATTTATATATTACTCCAATCTAACTCACCCTGCCAATGTGTGTTTAAAACATGAATCAGTTTCATTGATAAAATGGAATAATAAAAAGCAAATTTGTATTAAAAAATTACACAAAACTAGGCTTTCTTTGATGCACATAATTATCTTGTAATTTTGTGTAATGCTCAGGTGTAAGTGAAAGAAATTGTCTTAGGTAATTACACATAATTACAACTGAAAACTCTATATCATATATTAGGAATGTTATAGAATTAAAGGTAAAATCTTGACTACAGAAACTTTCTCTATATTCTTCTTCGTTAAGGTGAACACAGCTTGAATAGAAGCATGTTCATTGTTCATTCCTTTTAAAGATTAATGAATTGAATGCATTGCTTCAATCCAACACTTTAAAATCCTAGCTTTTCAGGGGAGCAGGAACTAAATCTTCAATAGGACATTTCTTAAGGAGTACAGATAGTTTTAGGAAACAGTAGTATCAGACTATCCACCATCATCTTGTGGTCAATGCTTCTTAGGATTGAGACAGAAGAACAGTGTACAAGTATTCATCCTAATAGACAGGAAAACTTTAGAGTATCAGAGCTGAGAACATTAGAATGGGATACCATTAATCCTGACTGCTTAATCTGAATATCCAATCTGGACACTTTTGCTGAATCCACCCTTTTTTGGATATAGTACAGAAAAATCAAAAACCGGTTTTTTAAAATTAAGAGTCCTTCCAGTTCCTGTACATTAAGTTAAAAAGCAGAATCTTTGCTTTTTTCAAGAAATTTTGCTTCAATGTGTTTTGTGAAAAAAATGCGAAATTTCTCCAAAATAAGAAATGCAAAAAATTTGGAATTTAAAAAAGACAAAAAAACAGCATTAACACCTTTGGGTTTTACAAAAAAAAAAATTCCAAAAATATATTTTCAATTGTGCTAAATTTTTGTTGCATTCAATTTCGCTAAGAAATGGAAAATTTTGCACAAAAGTTTCAAAATAAGGAAGAAAAATATTGCATTTTTTCACTAAAACCTTTCTTTTGCTGCAAACCCTTCTTGGGGGGGCAACAGTTAAAATCAGTAAAAAATTGATGATGCTAAGCATTTAGGCTTTATTCTTATTATAAGGCCTGCCAGTTTTTGACATCTTAATGTTAATGATTTTAGAAAACTAGAAAGGATAATATTAAGAATCCAATCATAGTTTAACTATGTTTTGCATCCAATCATAATAAAGCTCTGTTGATGTTAATATATTCTTTAAAGCCTAAAATTTAATGTATTAAAAAAAAGTTATTAATGTCCCAGGCCCCAAAAATAAATAATTCAAAAAATGTCTTGTTAGACATTGTTTTCTTGGGAATTTGAAACAGCATTCCAAATCGATAACCAAGGCTGTTTTTTTGAGTTTTTGTGCTCTAGCTCATTCAACTTTTAATTTTTTTAAAATTAGTTTTTGAATTCAAATTCAGCAGTAAACAGCAAAGAAATTGAGGTGTAACATGTAAATTTCTGAAATGTGTTTTTGGGGTATGGAAACTGATTTCCCTGACTGCAACAGAACAGAACAGCAACGAATTTCTAAAAGAAAGGTTCTAATTCTTTGATTACATTTTTACTAGTTCTTTATGCACATTAATATAAATCAATCATCACTAATTAATGCATCTGTTATGAAACACCTAGGAGTGGATGTCTACTGAGAGAAGTTCCATCACTCATTTGTTGTTTTCTTTATGTAGATACTTGTTAAAATTTTAAAATCCCCCTGCTAATGATTAAATGTTGAATGGAGATGGGCGCCAGAAGAATCTGCTATTTATTGGCCTATGTTGATGCAGAAGATATTATGAAATGTCCTGATAACTTCTTTTGAATTAACAAAACTAGTATTAATATAGACCCAAATTGAAGTTATCTTAGTTCTATGACTTTTTTAGAAGAGTCATCTATAAACTCCAAATATTATTCTGAGGTTTAATATGAATCTGTTAAGTATTTATATTCATAATTGTTATTTTTCAGACAAAGTTGATGTTTAACATAGTGCTTTGTCAGAGCTGAGTGAAGGATAGACTAGAAGGAATTTTTATTTTTTAAATACTTAGAAGAAATGAAGCTTATATTTTAACAAAGATCTGTGATCAAACAGAACCAAGCTAATTACGAAACTTTTAAATGCTTCCCTTGAGCTTTTGTTATTTTTGGGCTCTTAAATTGGGTCAAATAAGCTGACAACTCATTGGAGCCCTAAAACTCAACCAGGAAGGTATTCAAAGAATAAGTCTATTTGTATGGGCTAAATTCATAGTCTAATGCTGGGTTTAATTCAGATTTATGCTTCTAAAATCACAGTTCATTTTGTTAATTACTCTACTGCCTATCTAATAGATTCTAAATTACTTACTTGTTAGTTTCATAGTTGTAAATATGGATTTTTCCTCTTAGCACAGCCATTCCTATAATTAGAATTTTCAGAAATAATTGTAGGAAGTCTTAGGCTTAACCTGACTCATTTTTAGAGTTTGAAGCTTTAAATTAAATGTAAATATCAATAAAAACTATGACTACCATATCATTAAAGTTTTGATACCATTTATCAGAAACGGTAATAAGCAATGTATTTATCAACCATAAGACCAAAGAAATGTACGGTCACATATTGTAAATTATTGGACCAATTGATTAATTATACTTAAATAAAGGTGGAGGGGATGGCACTTTCCATATGTAGAGGGGAAGGGGGGATTAGAACTCTGTGGAGATTTATTTGAGGGGGGGGGGAGTAATTCTAAGGGATAGGAGAGGGAAAGTATATAAATCGTATAAACTGTACTTTATACACATTTAAGCAGTAGAATTTATTTCATCTTGTAGAATGCAAGAATCAAAATTATAAATTTTATTTAATTTGGCAAAATATTTTAATCTTTTAATCATTTTCATGTCATGTCATTTCATTGTCAAAACCCCCATATTTATTATTTATATTCATTTGTTTTTCGCTAGTTTCAAATTTGATCCAGACATGATCCCATTAAATACTGGGATCACAGCTGGATCAACCTTGATCCCCAGACCGGGCCGCCAGTATCAAGTTGACAGCAGCAAATCAAATTTGAAACTTATAGCTCGCGCCCAAAACTGGTTCAAATCCGGTTTGAAATTTTGGTTTGGGCTTTTAGACTTTTAGCTCAGGGAAGCAAATTTGAAACTAAAGGGCACCCAGAATCACAGGTTTAAGTTTTAATTCAGGCTTTTAGAACAGTAGATTTGTATACATTTACCTCCTCGTTCAAAAGCATCAATTCCAGGTACAGAAAAGTTGCAGGGATAGGACTGAACCATACTAATACTAGCTGCATTTATAACAAAAATTTTAATGAAATATACAAAGTTTTAACTCATAACAAAATGATTTGAAGCAGAAACTATGATGAACTTTAATTATTAGAAATGAGAGGGGGGGGGGCAGAGACAACCCTAGCTGCTATAAAAACAAAAATTTTAATGAAACATATAAAAATTTAAACACATAACAACATGATTTGACACAGAACCTATGATAAACTTTAATTATTGGAGATGAGAGGGGAGGGGCAGAGGCAAGTGAACATATAAAATGCCTTTTTTGCTGAAAAATAGGTGAATTTTTTCATAAACATAGGTATGTATTGTAGTTAGCAGATATTTTTCATTAAAAAATATTTAGCAAGAAATTCAACTTTAAAATTCTTTAAACCACCTCTTTTTTTTCTTAAAGACTTGCTTAAGCTTTTTGTCTAGGAAGTGACGGTAGTTGGAAATTGAAAAAAAAAATAATAAATGGTGAAATTAAGATTTTAAGAAGTCCCTGGAAGTGGGGGATGAAGGTAATTGGAAAAAATATAATTTAAATTATGTAAATATTAAATTATTAAAAAAGAAGGTAGTGAGGATAGTGGGGAATAGAAAAAAAACGTCTTGATTAAATGTTGATATTAAATTTTAAAAAGTTTGTGGTAGTGAGGGTAGTTATTGATTTAACAAAAAATTCTTTAATGAATATTGATAAAAAGATTTCAACAAGTCATAGGTAGTGTGGGAAGTGTGGTATTAATAAAAAAAAAATCTTAAATAAATTTTGATATAAAAGTTTCAACAAGTTGGTGGTAGTGAGGGTGGTTTAAAATTTAAAAAAATTCATGAATAAAAGTTGATATATAGATTATTAAAAGTCGGAGGTTGTGAGAGTAGTAGAGAATTAAAAAAAAAATCCTTGATTAAATTATTAAATTAAATTTTTTTAAAAATTTATTCAATATTTTTTTTCAATTTTTCACAACCCTCACTACCTCTGACTTTTAAAAATCATAATATTAACATTTATTCAATTATTTTTATTCAATTTTAAACACCCCCGCTACCACCATCATCTTCTAATCTTTTTATCAACATTTATTAATTTTGATAAAAAAGTTTCAACAGTTGGTGTTAGTGAGTGGGGAATTGAAAAAAAATTCTTGAATAAATGTTGATAAACAAGTTTCAACAAGTTGGTGGTAGTAAGGGTAGTGGAGAATTGAAAAAAAAATCTTGATTAAATGTTGATTTCTATTAGTCTGTGAGTGAGGGAATTTATTTCAAACTACCCTCACTACAACTGACTGGTTTAAATTTGTTATCAACATTTATTTAAGAATTTTTTTTTTCGATTTCAAACTACCCTCACTACCACCGTCTTGTTGAAATCTTTTTACCAACATTTATTCAAGATTTTTTTTCAATTCTCCATAACCCTCACTACCTTCGCCTTTTAAAATCTTAATGTCTACATTTATTCAGTTGGGGAACTCTAACACTTTCTCGCCTTTAAACCCAAGCATAAGGGGGTTTTGGGCGTTTTCAGCCTAATAGAAAGCGAGCATTAGGCTTAATGCTCGTTTTCTATAAGACAAAAAACAAGCATTAGGCTTAATGCTTGTTTTCTATAAGGCAGAAAATGAGCATTAGGCTTAATGCTCGTTTTCTCCCTTATTGAAATTTTACATTCAAATCTCACTACCGCCAATACCACAGTTGCTGTAAACCCCAAGTTTTATTCGATCTACAGCAGAATTTAAAACACAATAATTGACTCTCTTTGTTCATATTTATTAATTCGATAATTGTAATAATTGTATATTTATAATTAGGAGATTAATATTCAGCATTCGGATCCACCTCGGTCTCAAACAACATCAGGAGCTCCGCCCTTCTCAGCATCAGCAAGGACATGTGGGTCAACAGTTCCACCTCCATCCTCAGATAGCTTTCCTCCTTAGATATCCTCCTATGCCCCTGAGATGCATCTACAATCAATTGATGTAGGCTCTGCCAGGCAACATCTATCTGACCCTCGATCCTTCTCCAGTTACTGATAACTACATCTACCCGGCCTCCGTCTGGCTGGAGGCCCAGTCTCATCCACAGGAGGTCATTCTTGTCTGCATCCTCCGGCTTATCCTCCGGGTTTGGGGGATCTACATTAGGATCCCCCGTCTGGGGTTCACCTTCTCCTGGCCCTCTCCTATCCAGATCATTCCCTCCTTCCTCTACAGATCTCTCAGACACATCATCAGCAGGCAGGACCCGAACTACAGCCCCATGGTCTTCATGGTCACCTCCCCCTGGGGGTAGGGTAGTCGTAATCTCCATTATAGCTTTTATTAACCCTTTGTGGTATTGTTAATTACTTAGCTATTAATATACTTATAATCAATCAAGAATTATCTATCTTTTTATATAACTTTACTAAGCTATTGGTCTTGCTTAGTGTTACAGAGCTATCTTATCTAGTTTTACGGAGCTACTGACTTTACGGAGCTATTAACCTTATCTAGCGTGTATTGATTATCTCACTTGATATCAGAGATAAACAATGCCACAAACTCTAATCCGTCATTATTTATAATAAAGCTTTAGCAACTCTTATGGTAGTTTAGTTACTTAACTATTGATATAATTAAAATCAGTTATCTTTAAAAATAGCTTTACTAAGCTATTTGTCGTGCTTAATTATATGAAGCTATTTAATTTTGCTTTGCGGAGCTAAGGATCATCTTTATACAAATAGCTTTACAAAGCTATTTGTCTTATCTAGCTTTGCAGGGCCAAGGAGCCGGCTTAGCTTTATGAAGCTATTTGTCCTGCATAGCTTTATGGAGCTATTTGTCCGGCTTAGCTTTACAGCGCTGTTTATCCGGCTTAGCTTTACGGAGCTATTTATCTCATCTAGCATTGCAGAGCTATGCATGGTATTTAGCTATGTGGAACTATATATTCTAGTCCATTGATGTAGAGCTAGATATTTAGTTTTGCGAAGCTATTAACTATTAATGTTGCGGAGCTGTTAGCTTTGTGGAGCTATTAACTCTGCGGAGCTATTAATTCTGGGTAGCTATGTATTGGGTTTAGCTATGCAGAATTGTATGTATCCTGGCTTGTCTATGTTAGTATAAATATCTATAACTAGCTATTCACAGTTCAATATATTTATCAGTCTACATTATGTTAATAGTCTGAGTTATGAATCAATATAAACTTGGGAGCTGCACTTACCTAAGGTAGAAGATTATATTTGTATATAAGTCTTTCTACTGTTAAGGTTCTTTGTGCACTGCCCGTTCCCGTTTGCTTTGATTCATTATATAAAGCGCTGGCTGCATTTTCTATATATATATACGTAAATTCTAAGGTATTCCTAATCCGTTACAGATTACAACACAGTTTGAAAATAAAAGTTTGAATTTTATATTCTCATTTTGGAATTTCAAATCTCACTACCACCAAAACTTCTATTTAAAAGTATTTACATTTTCTAATTTTGAAAAAAAGGCATTTAATAATTTGAAAAGTCTCAAAAAATGTACAAAAACTAGCTCTCAAAGCCTTCAATACTATTTTCTTTTAATTTGTACATAAAATTTTCGCTCAAAAGAGGGCATTTTATACGAACACGTGGTATTGAGGGTAGTGGGGAATTTATTTCAAATTCAGATGAAGTATTGAGTTTGAATAGGGCTTGGGACAATACTTAGATCTAGAATCTCTAAGGTCAACTCATAATTGATTTAACAGATCTACATAATCGCAGATTAGAATCCATTCAATGGTTTAGGTAAACTTGCCAATGAATTGAAATTTAACTATTTCTAAGTAATTTTCTACACAACTTACATGATCTGACAGCAATTATACTTTTAAATACAAGAGGAATCTGGGAACCCTTACATTTGAGAAATTTCCCAGATACCCAGGCATTTGGGAAAATTTCTAGAATAATTAACACATACCACCATCAGATTAAAATAGGTATTTGGGGATTCTTGAAAATTTCCCAAATTTCTATAGAAATTTAAGGTGGTTTAATTCCAAGATTTTGAAATTTCTCTAATGACTGGACTTTTAGAGAATTTCCCAAAAACCTAGGCATTAGAGAAATTTCCCAGATACCCAGGTATTTGGGAAATTTCCCAGATTTCCAAGTATTTATAAATTTCTAAAAGAACTTTCTAAAACATTTGAAATACACCACCATAAGGTTTTAACAAAAATTTAGATATTTGAGGAATTTCCCCGATACCTAGGCACTTGGAAAATTTCTAAATTATTTAAAATACAACACCATAAATTCCAATAGAAATTTTGGGAATCTCGGAAATTTTTCCAGATACCCAGGCATTTGAGAAATTCCCAAAATTTTCCAAATTTCTATAGGAATTTGAAATTTCCTATTTCCTCTAGGAATTTGAGGGAAGTAAATTTTAAAGATTTTAGAAATTTCTCAAATAACTAATTATTGGGAAATTTCCAAAATATTCCAAATACACCACAATCAGATCCCAACAGGAAATTAAAAATCTGAAGAAATCCCCAAATACTCAAGCACTTGGGATATTTCTTGCATACCCAGACATTTAGGAAATTTCCCAGATACCCATGCATTTGGGAAATTCACCACCATCAGATTAAAATCAATATAAAATTTCCAATATACCCAGGCATTTTGAAAAATTCCCAAATAACAAGGGCATTTAGGAATTTAACCAGATACCAATGTATTTGGGAAATTCCCAAAATTTCCTGAAAATCTAGGCATTTGGCAAATTTCCTAGATACCCAGGCATTTAGGAAATTTGTAAAATATTTAAAATACACCACCATTAAATTTCAAGGAATTTGGGGAATCGTGGAAATTTCCCCAATACCCAGACATTTGGGGAATTTCGCAAATACCCAGGCATTTGGGAAATTTCCAGATACCCTGGCATTTGGGAAATTTCCCAAAAACCCAGGCACTAGGAAATTCCCAAAGTTTCACAAATTACTGTTGGAGTCTGATGGTGGGTGCAAACCCAGATGCCTGAGATTTTAGGATCTTCTTATTTTTGACATTTTTGATATTTGCTGCCAATTTTCTGCCAATTAAATTTAATTTAATTTAATTTAATGAAAGGTTTAGTTCAATTCTGGGTCAAAATATGTTTGCCCATCAAGTCATGTAGATATTTAACTTACTAACATACTAACAGTTTATTACCTTTGCTAACCAGAAGAAAATTTTCTTTCTGTTCCTAAAAGAAAAAGATTTTTGACCCAATACAAAAATACAAAATTAGAAAAACAGATTCAACTAACTTAGGATACTGAACTTACATTCGCTTATTTACAGATCTATAGATTACTCATGGTAAAAAAAGAAAGTCATATGTTGGCCGTCAATAATATCAATACAATAAAGTCAACTTTTGATTTCAATTTTGATTTTTTTCAAGCTAATTAAGAAAGCTTATCTTTGATTACTTGTAACAGGTAATTTAAAAAAAGCTTGTTATCAATCAAAACTGAAATTTAAAAGTCATAATCATTTTATTGATTTAATTGCCTACCACTGTGACATAATACATGCATACATTGTTAATTTGTTATTACACGAAGGGATGCAATAAATATAGAGGGGAATATTACAATATTACATTGCCAAGGCTTCCCTTGACTAAGGGAACCCAAGGTAATGTAATGTCCACTCCTATATAATATTTTCAACTTTTAATCAAAGAACCTGTCAAATCATTCGTTGGGATGTTTAGAAAGATGAAAATTTCCCTGTATGATAATTGAAGGACTGCAGTATGTTTTTGGTGAATTATATTGACGTACTAAGCCTAGGGGTGTCAGAAATGATTTTTTTTGCATTTTTTTGAAAACGTCCATTAAACCTAAAAAAGTTTAATTTTGATAAAACTTTTTGTTCTGGATGATTACAAATATCCTTCTAAAACTTTCTTAAACCGGCATATTTTTTCTATATTCATTAAGTTAAGAGTTTGAGTTAAAATAAGTATTAATAAATATTGCTTTATATCGAGTAGATATCCTTATACATATCGATGTGAAACCTTTCAGAAAGTTTGCAAAAAAAAATCATTTCTGACACCCCTAGGCTTTGTACGCCAATATATTTCACCAAATCCATACTGCAGTCCTTCAATTATCATACAGGGAAATTTTCATCTTTCTAAACATCCCAACGAATGATTTGACAGGTTCTTTTATGGAGATTTTTTCACTTCTCAACTAAATTTAAAATTATAATTTATATAAAATTAAACCCTTTTATAAGCTTATTAAACTGGAAAATTTATTTAGTTTTAGAACAGATATATTTGAGTTCAGAAATTAAATCTAATTTTTGAAGTTGTAAACCTGCAACTTCTTGGCAGACATTTTTTTAATCAATTTTAACTAATTCCCAAGTCAGTTTTCAGAAAACCTTGATTGGATCAACATCATCATGGAGCTCCCTGGGATAGCCATGGGAATATTGTCCTTAGAGAAATTGCTAGACTTATTCCTATAGAAAATGTAGTTTGATTGTTAGAAGCCTCTTTGTGGCCCATGCTTAAGGAAATTAATTCAACACTGTCATGCCTTGGGAAAAGCTTCTTAATGCCTTCTATAACATGCTTAAGGAAAAATGGCAAGGCATGGTCAGATGTCAAGAGTTCATGGAACATCTGTTCCCAACCCCATACTGGATTGTAAGAAAGGTTTAGATTTATTTAGATTAATAATGACAACTATGCAACTCCAAATAGTGTTAAATATTTAATTCAAGAAATACATATTGGGCCTTATTTCACTATCAGAAAATACCACTTTTAAATTGGCTAGGTTTTCATCATCTTGGCCTTTTATTGTGGACTCTGCCATCTAGAACTAATAACACTTGAAAAGACACTATAAAAGATTAAGAAGACTAGACGTATATGTCACTTATTTGAGGTATACGAAAATATTGCTTTTCAAAATTATACATTTAAAGATTAATGCTTAATTTTTGAGTTTCAGGTGCAAACAAAGGATAGATAAACGTTAAACCAAGATCCTGGTTCCTGGTGGGGGCCTTGTAGATTCTGCAGAAGTAGTCAATATCTATATCCAGAAGCTCAATGATGATCTAGGCCTATTTAGTGGAACCTGTTTCTTTATATACAATCATTTAGCTTTCTTTGGAAAACAATTTAGAAAAAATCTCATTGCTAAAGTGCTAGTGAGGTGGCCTAGCTGCTGCAGAGAGACAATGCAGAGACTTTAACCTTCCATAGCCTACATAGCCTATAGGTTTCCTACAACTGCACTAGCTGATCAGGGGGCATTAGTGGCACTACTCATGAATTTCTATGGCTGGGCCAACTCTTGGACAGGAGGATGTGCCATCGTGAAAGACAAAGTTGTATTTATAAAACATTTTCTGGAACATTTAACTTTTGATTCGTCAAATGTGCTTTTAACTTTCCAAAGTTGGATGTTTGTTTTTGATATACAGAATGAATATTTGTGTATTTGTTAACATAAGTTCTATATATTTATTTTTGATTTTAGTTGTAGTTATCCACAACTATTTGCAAAAGATACTTTGCAACCCTAAAACCATCCCTAGGGTAGCAATGTAACATTGACACCCTGGTTTCAGGGTTGCAATGTAAGTATCAGGGATTCAACAGTGTCATAATTTAGTTCAATAGTTGGAAAAATTAATTATGTAACTTTCTCACTAGAGATTTGAATGCTTGAGTATCCATGAATACAGGGAATGCTTCCTCCTCAGGAGGCTCTTCCAATAAAGTTATCTGAAAATACAAACCCATGGTAAATAAAATGGTATATCTTGCAATATGGAATAACATATGATCACAATCATAACAAATCTATCTATATAATAAAACAATTTTTACTAGAAAATCCTGAATTAACACTGCATTTTTTTTAATAAGCATTGAAAATTTAGAACATATTGCTGGAGATTATAAAGGGATGTGGCTCAGGAAGCACTACTGTTTACCACATTGCCACAGTAAATTGCAGGATGGGGGCAGCTTGCCTTCCCCTCCTCATCATAGTCAAGACTTATAAATAGCATACTAAATCCGTAATATTGATCAACATTTACCCCCATCCATTCTATTCACCTTGCCCATGTGCTACACAGAATATCTGCCCTACTGCAACACCAAACTTACAGCAACTTTTATTCGCGAGTATAACATATAGTCCAGTGCAAGACAAATATATTCTTATAGGTCAGATGTACAAGCTTATTTGCAGGTCAGACTGGCACTTTTTTTGTAGGTCAGATGGGCACTTTTTCTATGTTGGATTGGCACTTTGAGTAAGTTGGATGGGCTCTTTTTGCATGTCAGATGGGCAATTTAGTAGGTTGGATGAGCATTTTTTGAAGGTTGGATGAGCACTTTTCATAGGACATATAGAAACTTTTTGTATGTCAGATGGGCACTTTTTATAGGAAGGATGGGCACCTTCAAAGGGTCAGATGCACAGTTTTGATGGTTGGATGAATACTTTTGAGAGGAGGATGCACATGCTCTATAAGTGGGATGTTAGGTTAGGTTAAGTCTAGGCTGAATGGTGCATTTAGAACAGGCTAGGGGCCAAACAAGCTCTGCTGCCTGCAGTATTAAATTGACTAAATAACAGCCAACATTATTTTTTTGGCAAATTAAATATTATCTATGTCTGGAGCAGATATTAATTGTTAGTAAATTTGAATGGAGGACAAAATTCAAAAGGTAATAACTTTCATTGTCTTTACCCCCTTAAAGTTATATTTAAAAACAAAATGCGATATAATATGTGTCAACTAATAAGATAATAACTATTAATATGCTGTTTTAAATTTGTCCAGTCATCTTACAATACATTTGATCAATAACAGCTGTAGAACTACATGCTAGTAGGTCTGATTGGTTGTATAACTACATGGGATGGTCCCAAAATACACCATTCACTAAATCATCCCACCTCTGCAAGGGAGCAAGTGTTATTTGAAGCTTCAAAATGTACAGCATTGCAGGTATCCTTCAATACTGCACAAGCCCCTGCACACTGTTTTACATCATGTTTGACAATCTAGGTAATCAGTATATATTTATCCTCCAATGAAAACTAGTGTATTTTGGCAATTTCAATCCTTGCTTCAAGTGTAAATATGATTAAAATTATTATTTTATCAAAAATAAAAATCATATTATTTTAAACATTATAATTTTATTTCTACACCACATCTAGCTAAAATAATATATAATTGTTCCTGTTTATTTCGAGCTTGATCCCATGTTGGTTTAGAGATTTTCTTCATTTTCTCAAAAATTCTAAAAATGAATAATATCATATATCTTTCAAATTATAAAATTCTGATAAAATGTTGCTACATTCAAATTCTTATTTTAAAGTTGAACAAAAAGAAATATTATATGTTCTCTGAGAGTTAGGGTGTCCAACGTCAATGTAATTTTGCATAATTTCTACAACGTAATATTGCAAAATTTTGTAATGATTATGCGAAATTAGCTTAATGTTGTAATTTTCTACTGGGTAATTTGGCAAAATTTTGTAATAATTAACGGTAATTGGCTGCAATTTCCCGTAATTTCAACAAAAGTAATTTTACAAAATGTTGCAATAAATGAGCATAAATGACGAAACTTCAAATTAAAAGTATTTAGATTGTCCTATCAGATTGGAAATGGTTGTATTGTTTAGTATTACATAATTTTGCATAATTACACCTTAATCAAGTGTCACTAGGCCCTAAGTGAAAGAAATTGTTATGCAAAATTTTGACTGGAAACCCTACTGAGATTAAATCAATGCAGACTAGACACATGGAAGTCAAATTCAAGTCTTGAAGAGGTGAGGCAGAGATGGTGAAAATATTTTTTTATGACATTCCTTTAATGAAATATTCAAATAAAGCCAATCATGAGGTGAATTAATCCCAGGACAGTACAACGATGGTATTAGTATAAAAGGAATTGAGTCTTTCAACAAACTAAAGTTTTTGAAATCCTTAATAGTTTTACCTGCTTCCTGAAGCTAACACACAGAACAGACATATCAGTACAGTATGCAATACAACCATATTGTAAAGTGTAAAATTTACAACTTTAAAACCTGAAAAAAGAGTTAAATTGATTTTGGTTCATAGGCTTTAATCAATGTAAAATCTTGGGATGCAAGGATCAAATTATAATGTTAAAGTTTGAAAGTTATATGGAATCCTGCCGCGAAGGGCTGTTCATCCAAAAACTTCATGAGGTTGGAAAACGGAAACCATACTACTTGTAAATTGAAGGAATAAAAAAACAGATAAGATCTGTCTTGAATACTGCAACTGAAATCTATTTCATCACAACTTGGAAAGCTTAAAACTGTGCTGGCTAATGACAAGAATCCAGCTTAGTTTCAATAGCTAATAAAATACATAAAACTCACATTTAAGGAAGTAACCCAGCTGGTAAGGCCCTTTATCAGAGGCTTGTGAGTTAACACTTTATTTGTGGACAATTTTTGAATACCCTTACAACTCACGCCAATCTTATCTCCTGAATTCTCCAGATTATTTTAAATATTTTGCAGACTTCAACAAAGAGAGTGTCTTAGCCAACTTATTTCTTCTCTGTAGATATTTCAGATTTATGCTCAAATGTACTTGTTATAAACTTTTAGGAAACAAATGATGTCATAGGATCCTTGGAGAGAAGAGGTTTACCGAAATCCATCTAAGGTTACTGAAAGGAGACCTCCTAATCTCAGAGATAAATGTGACTGGTTCAGAATTTCAGATCCTCCCAGAATGAGATACCCGGAATGAAACAATGAGGTTTAAATTGCCCAACCTGTCCCTGCACAGAGCCTGTATCAGTTATTCAACACTATATTTCCAACTGTTAATATTGAGATTAATGGAATGTACAGCTGCAAAACAAGAAATGTAGTTTACTGTATTCCATGACAGAAATGTAAACTACTTTGTACAGGACGGATTTAAAGATGAAAGTTGAAAAAATGAGAGAAAATATTCATGGTCTGATCCTGCTAATAGATCCAAAAATACAAGAAATTTAAGTCTTATTTAATGAAAATGGTTCCCTTTTTAAAGTTTTCTGATTTGAAAAAATAACATTTTTTAAAAAAATTTTTATAATTTATATTTGCTAGAGATAACATTACCAAATGACTCCTACTTGCCAACTGCATAATTATTACATTTCATACTAGAACGGCTTTCTATGAAGGTAACTTTAACCTCCAGTAGGAATGTGCAGAAGTTTTGTGAATATTCTCAATAACCTAATTGCACAAATTCAAATTTTATCTGAATTGTTGCATGCCACAACAGTGGCCTGTGTTAGTTAGCCAAAACACTGTTGTGTATCATCGCATTATTAATACTGTGTGTATAGCAATAGTTAGTTGGAATAAAAGAATAGCAAAATCCCAAAGCTTGGTATTTTTTTTCAGTTTTTTATGTTAATTAACCCATCTGCTCCTTGGGACAAAGTATGGCCTTATACAATAGATCCTCAGATGTTTTTTTTTTTATTATTGTTGTTTTGTATATTCTAAAATTGGTACAAGGTGCGTCCAGAGATTTTCGGTGGTGATTGGGATTTTGTATTAGTAATGTTTTGATGATGATTATGAAGAGTTTTTTTTACACAGTATCAGTTACACATGGGTCAGGAACATGTAACATGTAATGTAAAGTATTATATAGCCAGCTACTTAAATCCTTTATGACAATAATAACCTAATAATAAAAATTAACAAAATTAGAACTTACCAAAATTTGAAATATAAACCATGTAGAACCATTTTTACAAAACATAAAAATGATTTTTATTAAAAGGAGCATTTTTGTTTAATTTAATCCTGAAATCGCAGTCATTATAAGGTTAAAAAAAATTATTTTATTGATTAGAAGGGGTTTAAAACTATTATTGAAAAGATTACTTAACACTTAACAGGCTAGGGGGGGGGGGTAGTTTTGCTTCCTCCCCTCTAGTTTTTTTGCCCTAGCACCCTCATTTTTGACACCTAAAAGATTTCTTGTAATTTTTTTCTTTATGCATAGGGTAGGGTACAGGGTCTTAAAAAGTCTGGTCTATGTAAAAAATAAAATTGTAATAGCCCATAATTTGTTTATGACGAAAGCTACAAATCTAAATATTTTTTAAATTTAGCATCCATATGTTTATTTCAATAAATCCATAAGATCAGCAAGGATTCAGTGGTAGAGCTGTTTTTAAATCTAGGCCTCCGGATGGGAGGTGGGGAGCTGGCGGTAGGGGGTGGAGAGCTGATGGTAGGAGGTGTCGCCTCCTTCTTCTTCTCCTTATTCTTCTTCTCTTTCTTCTCCTTTTTCTCTTCATTCTTCTCTTGCTTCTTCAGTCCTCACATTTTTTCTCTTCTGGAAGTGAATTAAGCGTATATTAGACAACAAATCTAAATATACATTTTTGAAAATCATGTGTCACTTATTGATATTTGTTTTAATGCAATAAAAAGTTAACATTTTGTAACCTTTTTTGATATTTTTCAACCCTCACTGGCATCCAAACTACAATAGATATTAATCTATTTTTTCTCCATAAGCTGGCCTTCAAAAATTGGGCTTTCAATATGCATTTCAACCCTAAACCCCCCCCTATATTTTATTTTTTAAATTACATGTGTTAACTAAACTGGACCCAGCCCTACTTCCATCTATGCTGAAATTTTCCATTTCATGTCATTGAAATAGAATTTCCCTAAGCTTTATCTATGCATATGCTTTGCATGCATCAGTTAAAGTTAGAATTAATAACATTTCAAAACATGTTTTCCAACAGTCAAAACTTCCAAAACCTATGCAATAGTTTTATGAACTCAATCTTTTCGACTTACTATCGACAGCAAACTATTTCAAGGGAAAATTCCACATTTTATCAGTAGTAATTCAAAATGGGCCAACTTAAATATTCCTACATTTTTTATTTTTTTATGAAAAAAATAATATTTTTTGGATATTGTAAGCAACTAGCTGGAAACCCAGCACCACCATCTGCATTTGAAGGATTTTACTGGGAAATTAAAATTTTGCTATTAAAGTCAACCCACTCAATTATAATCTCAAAACCAAGCTAAGAACATCTACATGGGTCTTCAAGTTCCCAAATTAAAATTTGAGGCAAATTGTCCTAAGTTTTGATCAAACAAACCAACAGTCAAGAAAAGATTACAACTTTATATATATAGATACAAGGAAAGAATGTAAATTTGCTAAAAAATGGAAAGATATTGATGCATAAATGTAATGATAAATGTTTTTAAAACTACAGGATACTAATGTCAAAAGCTTGTAAATTATGTAGAAATGTAAAATATTAAAAAGAATATTGTCAAAATGTTGGCAAGAGTAAAAATTTCTACACTTGATTAACTAAAATATGTTTCATCAGTCACATTTTTCATTCACTGTATTATTTTAGAATTTAATAATGTATACATTACAATATTTAGTGATACAAAATGCATTGCATGTTTAAATCCTTTTATTCTAGGGAAGCTCATTGGACACAATTGGTCAGCTATCATTAATGTTTGCTAGGGACTAATGAGGTTTATAAAGAATGTCAAATAATGCCGGACTGTCAGCATAATTGTCCGACAACTTGATAAAGTTCACAATTTTGTATCCAGTTCTTAATAGCTTATCATTGGGATTTTAGATCTTTATCCTTATTAGCAAAATAGTTATGGGCAATTTAAAATTATTTATATTGTAATTTGCTCTATCCTAATTAAGTGCTAGGGTAAATTAAACTTAAGACCCCAAAGTTGGTTAAAACTTTGTTTTCTGTTAACAGACGTTTAACTGAGATCTGGTGAAGTAGATTTGTCCTACACAGAACATCAGATACATGAATGCCATATGGAAATAGTATTTAAAAAATAACCAAATTAAATGCTAAAGGGTAAATGTTTTAATTCACACACTGTATGTTATGCACATGAGTTAAATGAAAATAAGAATTTCCAATTGGAATTAAAAGTTTTAATGAACTTTCCTGCTATAATAAAATCATGATTGATAAAGTTATACATATTGATTTAATAATGTTTAATGGGAAATCAAAATCTGTGTAAATCTTTTGTAGGCCTGAAAGTAATGCTATAGAGGTGCATTACATGTTTATTGTTCATTGTTCATAGTCAAAAGTTGTTACACAGACATGGATTGGATGACTGTAAATACTCATCAGACTACAAGGGAGGGTTGACAAAACATTATTTAAGAATTATTTTGAACTGAAATTATTGACTTATAAAAATGGTTTAAATGTAGAATGAAAATGTTGAAATTATTAAGTATCACTAGAAATAGATAATTCAGTTGTATTACTGTGGTCAACTTTAATTTGATTTCAATGTTTGTTTAAAACCTATTCATTTACAGTAGAGATGACAGCAACAGTATCATAATATTTTATGTTTTTGTGTGCCAGGTTACAATTATAGAAAACTTTTGGATATAGCTTTTTCCTCATATATGTACTTTGTATGTATGTATGTATATGTACATGTAAGATATAGCTGGCCAAACGGCTGAACCATATGGGCTTACATTTTTAGAGAGAACCCTTGATTACCCCAGGGGCAACATAGGCTATAAAATTGAAATGTATGCACCGGAATTATTGAACTGGACTCACAAAATTTAAAAGTGAAGAATATGCAAGTTTGAACTAGTTTATGGTTAAACTTACAGTTTCTGTAAAGAAATAAATTATATACCTGAAGAAGTTTAAAGTATGATAATTTCATTTTACTCAAGACCATTAGAAGGATATGATTTTCAATGGCAGGGTTTAAAAGTTAAAAGGAAACACAGGGACTACTTAAAAGATTCAGATTTCTTTTCTGGGAGTTTAAAATTCTACAGGAGGGATTCAGATATCCTTCTGGGGGTTTAAAATGCTGCTGGAGTTATTCCAATAGCTTTATGGAGGTTTAACATTCTACTGGAGGTGTTTAGATAACCTTCAATATAGGGTTTATATTTGCATTGATTTAGATATTTATACTAACTAGATTACGCAGAAAAAAAATCTGCACTTAAAAGAGTTGCAGCTGCATTAAAATTTGCGAGAAAAAAAAATTTATTTCTTTTTAAACTGAAATTTTGCAAAACTTTTTAATTTTTCCGGAAAGCCTATTTATAACTATTGCAATCTTTGAAATCAGGAACCCCAAATTCACGTTTGTTCACCATTTTTTTCATAGTATAATAGGTAAAACATTTCTTTAGTACATCTTAATCTTTTAAAGATTATATGTTAACTTCTTATTTTAGTAAACTATTTGTAATTCTCAATTGTTGTACTTTTGGGTATTCATATTTCATCTCTGTTAATTTATATACTTTTTGACAAATTTATTGAACATTGTATATTTGTTGATGTTTTTAACCATAAAAATAAAATGAATTTGTTTGAACAATTATATCTAGATGGCAATGTTAAGGGGTAAATTATATTTTTCTATTATACTAAAACATTATTATATTCTGTGTATTGAAGTCTTGGTAAATATAGCTGATAATGTTCCTTAAATATATCCAACAGCCTTTTCCCCCTGATAATAGGCTATTTTTGATATTGTTTGCAGTAGCAGAGCCAAATTCAATTTAATAGCATTTCTTGTCATATTTTATTTATATTTAATTTATCATTCCTCTTCATTTGAAAAATAATGCAAAAGGTTGAATTTGGCTTAGTTACAACAACATTTTTTTCTAATGAAAATTTTAGATTCCTTAGAGTATTGGCCATTTAGATATTTTCAATTTTTAGTGTAAATGTTGGCTTATTTACTGTTTTGAGTAAAAGGTACTGTTTTCTCTTTTTTCACAATGATCTAGTACACACAATTTATGTTGTCCAGTTGCACATACTTATCAGATCTGCATAGTTAGGACAAATGTAATAAAGTCTTTTTTTCTTCTGATCAAAATAAAGGAACAAAATTAAATATCTTAAGTTTTTAAAGGATTTAAAAGTTATGTAATAACAACAAATGACAAACTGGTATTGAAATACCAGCCATGCTTAAAATGAGCTAGAAGCTTGAAAATTGAAGTTAGATGAAAGTATCTTGTTTCATATGAAATCAGAAAAGTTAAATAGGGTAGGTTTTTAAAAAATAAATAGAAATTTTTAATACTTTTTGCCATGAAGCTAGCTGAAGGGCCCTGCGTTGCCCGTGAAAATAAAAATTTGGAAAAAAATTTCAAATTTTTAAAGCCTACAGCATCTCCGGCCATCCCTGAGTGTCCACAAAAAATTTCAGCCCAATCGTTTGAGCTGTTTGGCTGGCTAGACGTAAGATATATATTTACCAATGTCTTGTTTTATTTTATATATATTTTTGATTAATATTAAATTTAGAAACATTTGTATACATTTTAGCTTTATGCCAGTTGTGAACATTGATGCAGAACATTTCCCTACTTGATGATTTTCAAATTTTCACTTTAAAGAAGGGTGTAAGGGTGTTGTGGGGGTATTAATCAGTTTTAACTATAGTTTCTTATTTATATTAGTAATTAAAACAGAAAGTGTTATTTTAACTTATTAAATATAATGTTGAAGTTTCAAAATTATTTCAATTTTGTGGGCTCTCAGTAAATGACATTCTAGATATTCTGGATAGATTGTCTGACATTAATTGATGATTCTGATGAAGATTCAGATTATCTGCAAAAAGAAGATGAGAATATTAACTTTTCTCTCTTATTGAACGTTTCTTGTAACCAATAAACAACATTATTATTTGAGGAAAATGATAATCTCCAGCAGTGATACATCAACTTCAGAACACAACCTCTCCTCTTCAGAACACAACCTCTCCACTTCAGAACACAACCTCTCCACTTCAGAACACAACCTCTCCTCTTCAGAACACAACCTCTCTTCTTCAGAACACAACTAAATAAATGGATAACTGGATAACTGGATGATGTCAGGATAACTCCAGATTTACTGATTAACCGCAGAAACCTGTTCACAATTCTTCTTAGGTCTGGTAGGAAGACTAGTGTCTTGTATTTCTCTTCCTGGCGTAAAATCAAGGAACTCTTGAGGATTGAACCTGTTAGAAGCATTAGTTTTTTCTTTTTTCAACTTCTTCAGCTTAACCCCATCAGGGAATTTGAACCCAAAGGCCTGCAACGATATCAGTTGGCTTAGAATCAGGACAAAAACGCCTCTCTTCCAGTCGTCGTACATCTGTGTCTGGCTCTCAAGTTGTTTAATGGGATAAACTTGGCATGTTAGGGAAGATATAGTTGCTTTTCAAATAATAAATCAATCCAACTCTGGTCGGGAGAAGTCACTTCAAGTCAGTTTGGCTTGGACAAGGCGGTGGTAGCATGAACCTCATGCGTAGCCACATCTAAGAGCATACTTCTGTGAGGAAGGGTAAATGCTATACCTTGCAAATCTGCCTGCACTTACTGCAATCCTCCGTTCTGCGTACAAGAATCACTAGGACGGTATAAAGGAAGGACATGGAGTTGCTTGGACACTCTGCTATCCTCATTTTTACCTCTGATTTCTGGCTTAGATAAATGTTATTTATGTCCTTATGATTATGTGTGGAAAAATCTACCACCCCTGTTACATAGGGGTGGTCTGATCCTGGTCCGATCCGGCAATGCACATCTAATCAAGTGTTGTTGCAGTCATGTCCAAGCCTTTTTTTTAAAATCAAAAATAAACTACTCTCCGTTCTGAGACCTCATGATTACCCATTCAGGGGCAGGACATCTATCAATTACAGAATCTGGGACTGGAACTGCTGGCTGAATCACAATAAATCGAAGAGTGTCCCCCGACACACTAAACCTCTTATTAAAAGTTTTTTAAAATCTAAATATTTATTGTCTTATTATTTAAATTGTACAACATAGTTTACGTGTGTTCAATAATAAAGCTTAACGACAAATTTGTTTACATTTTTTTTGAGAGATTTGTGAGATAAATACAAAATAGTTTACATGTGTTCGATAATAACGACAAATTCATTTACATTTTTGAGAGATTTGTATAAGGATTAAATACATACATTTCGCTTTCATGCAATTTGGGCAATTTGTGTAGAAATCAGTTCGCGCAAACAATCCACAATCCTCATGAAACATTGATATAAAGTCGCTGTACACTATATGGAAAATACAACGATTGTACTAACGAAGAACATTGAAGGTTCTACGTCGGTATGGCATTACATTAGTTAAACTATGTCGTCTTGATGCTATTTAGCCAACGTAAGGATAGAAAACTATATATTTAAGATACATACTGGCGAGGAACATTGATGGTTCCTTCCTGCATGTTCTTTTTTCTCTGTGGTTTAGAATCTACACGACCGACATGAAGATGACAGACTCCAAAATTAAGAAATGTTAAATGTGAATAGCTTATTAGAGAATCATTTAGTTTCAATTGTAAGAAAACACATTATATTTAAGAGCTGGACTCACGTAGAACATTTATCGTTCTACGCTCCTGTCCAGGACATTGAAAAGAGATTATGGTTTAATCTCTTCATTTTTCTCAAATCTTCAATACTCTAGAGCAGATATGGTGCTCGTTTATATTGTGCTACGAATTAGAGATATCGATGTAGCGTAGTTGTCCCATTTTCTTGAGACATCCTGGTTTCTCGGCGGGGTTTGTTGGTTCAGGAGGTGTTACAGTTCTCTCAGACTGAATCAGGAAAAAAAAGATCATCAGTTTATTTTATTTTGAGAGAAAATTCCGGGTAAGAAGGAAGATTCAGATTTTAAACCAAAGTCCTCTTAATTTAAAGATCAATTTCTAAACGATATCAATAAAAATCTATTAATTTAGACAATTTATTTATAGGGACTCGATTTTACTGGGAGTTTTTATTTCTTCAGTTTTTAGTTAACTTTACGACAAAAATGACGTTTAGTTTTTTGATTGCAGTAGTAAAGTAATAGTAAAGAAATATCAAATTACAAAATAAAGGATAAGAAGAAAATCTTTAAACTTAGACAACTGACATTGTATACTTAAAGTTTGAATTTTGTTAGACTTTTATTTCAATTGAGTGTACGTTAGTTACGGTTCAATAGGGTTTCAACCTTAACAATCCAAAATGATCCATGTGCACGCTCCTGCTCTCTGTATATAAAAGGTTAGAAATTCATTGATAATGAAGGAAATCTGCCAGTCCTCGAGGGGACTTATGGAAATATATTCTTTTACCGTTATTTTCTGCTGAGTGGTGAAGCTATGGGATCCGCCGGATCCTCTGAGGTTCGCTGCTCATTCATCTTCCAGGTTTCAGTTTAACAAGGTAAAGAGAGAACCATGAAGAAGGGAAAAAATCAAGGATGTCGGCATTAGAGTTCTAATTCTGGGATTTCGAGTATCATTGGAATTCAAAACTTGAGTTTAAACATTGAACTATTTAAGTAAGATCTTAAATTTTAGACTAATTTAATTTCTTGGAAGTTTTATATCTGAAGTATCTAATTATAAAATAAAAGATAAGAAAGTCTTTAAACTTTGACAACTGACATTGTATACTTTAAGTCGTAATTTTAATAGAATTTTATTAAATAGCATGTACATTAGTTCCGGTTCAATAGGGTTTCAACCTTTATAATCCAAAATGATCCGTGTGCACGCCCCTGCTCTCTGTATAAAAAAGGATTAAAAATTCATTGATAATGAAGGAAATCTGCCAGTCGTCTCGGGAGCTTATGGAAATATATTTTTTACCGTTATTTTCTGCTGAGAGGTGCAGCTATGGGATCCGCCAGATCCTCTGAGGTTGGCCGCTCGTTTCTCTCCCGGGTTTCAGTTTAACTAGGTAAAGAGAAAGCCATGAAGAAAGGAAGAAAGAAATCTTCTATTTCCCTTTGATATTTGATAAGGCCCTCGGGATTTAAAGTTAAATATGTTGATAAAGTTCTAATTCCGGAATTTTGAATATCTTTGAAATTCAAGGCTTAAGTTAAAACATTTAATTGAGTAAGATCTTCAGTTTTAGACTAATTTAATATCTTGTACGTTTTATATTCGAACTATCAAGTTAAAGAATAAATGATAAAAAAGACTTAAAACTTATACAACTGACATTGTATACTTTAAGTTGTATTTTTATTAGAATTTTATTAAATAGCATGTACATTAGTTTTGGTACAATAGGGTTTCAACCTTTACAATCCAAAATGATCCGTGTGCACACCCCTGCTCTCTGTATTAAAAAGATTAAAAAATTCATTGATGAAATGAAATTCTGCCAGTCTTCTCGGGGACTTACGGGAATATATTTTTTACCGTTATTTTCTGCTGAGTGGTGAAGCTATGGGATCCGCCGGAACCTCTGAGGTTCGCTGCTCATTCATCTACCAGGTTTCAGTTTAACTAGGTAAAGAGAGAACCATGAAGAAAGGAAAAAAGAAATCTTCCATTTCCCTTTGAAATCAAGGCAGTCGGGGTTATAAAATTCTTTTTTTTTTGCAATTTAAGCCGTATGTTAAGGCGCTCAAACGAAGTATTTAATTTACATATCACTGATATTACATAACTTCAAGTTTTAATTTCAGAAACGTGATATTTAAATTACATATACTTGATATTACATAACTTCAAGTTTTTAATTTCAGAGACGTGATATTCCAGATTAAAATTTTAACAATGAGAGATTAATTAAATTAGATTTTTGCAGTGAAAGAAATTTTTAAATTTGATTTTCGAATTTCATTGATGGAGTAGAGATTCTTGGAGTATTAATTAGACGTAGCTAAGTAAAAATAGTGAAAAACTTTAAATTCAATTTTAATTAAGAAGATAGTAGAGATTCTTGCAATACTATCAGAGAGTACTTAATTTAGAGCCTTTTAGTCTATTCATGTACTACTTTCTTGACTTCAGTATAGAAAAAATGTATATAAAGCCCCCTGACATAGAACAAGGTTGGCACATATTCCCACGGCATCCTGTTCATCCTATTTAATCTTTTTTACCGTTATTATCTGCGTTGTGTCTTGCAAATCTGAAGATCTGCCGAAATATAGATCCGCGTGTCAGCAATCGAGCGATTCCCTGTCTCATACAGCTACAGCGATCAGGGTCAGATGGTTTCACGTCTAACTATATTACAAAAATTGAGATTTAACAATATATATGTGAAAGTTTAAAAATGTTGTAAGACCGGAAAGTATGATAGTATTTTTAATAAAGAAACAGTTCTTTTTTTGTTTAGTTACATTTTATTTTTTTTTCCTTCTTAAAAAAATAGAAACGCCCATTAGTGTTATGAGGAATATTCGCAACTGGATTTTATAGAAGCATAAAAACTGCGTCGTTAAGAGTTGTCGGACATATGTCGGACATTTTATTTTTGGAAGGAATCAACATGAATAAAAAGTTAACTTGGTTAGACTTCCCATATTTACTAGGATAAAAAGTCTTGTAGAAACCGAGGTTCCATTTAAAACGCAGGTATGAATGACGCATATGTGTATATGTATTAACCATTACAATTTTTACAAAATGAAAGAAAGTTAAAATTCTTTTTTCTTTCCCAAAATAGACTGTATTGTGTGAGGTCTGTTCTTACCGTTTTCCTCAAGCCATTTAGCCACAATTCACTCCTCATGTTTGAGAAAGTTGAAATATTAAGGCAATAGGAATAAATTGAAAAATAGGAGAGTTCTAGGAGCTTTAATACTGACAGATATTAGCATAAGTCAGCAAAAATAGGAAATATTTTAATTTTATGAATATCACTGACAAATATTGAGATAAGTCAGCAAAAATAGGAAATATTTTTGTTTTTAGGAGTTTAAAAAGGAAACAACCCTGATAGTTATTCGCATGAGTCAGTATTGAATGGAGTAAGTGCTGAAAAATGTAGGCATAAGTCAGCAAAAATAGGAAATATTTTTATTTTAAGGATTTTATAGGTAATAAATTAAATTGATTGATTGAAAGGAAAGTATTGGGATTGTGAAAAAGTGCTGGTTTAAAGGAAAAGGATAGGAATAGGAATAATATTGGAATCTAGGATAGGAATAGGGTGAGTTAGGGGATTTAGGATAAGGAGTTGGTAGATGGATGAGGTGTAGACGAAGAGACAAAAAACTGCAAGATCAACCGGGGCTTTGCTGGAAAGGTGGGGGTACCCATGAGAGGGGGGGGGGGTGAAACTGTGCAGGGTTTAAATTTTGTGTTGTGCACATTCAGATAAATTAGCGTTTTGCTTGCCTCTGATATGACATGGGCGGCTGCGGGCGTTTTGCGGCCCCTGAGGGCTTCAGGTCCTCAAACCCACAGGACTCTCTGTGAGCCTCAACCCATTGGGAGAAACTGATGTCGCATGGGATGGAGGGGCCCAGGGTTGGTTTAGGTCAGTCCATTACCGGCCTGAAGAAGTGCACGCACTTCTGGACCATTGAATAGACCACTTGGACTCCCTTATCAGTCAGGTGTACACGGTCATCCTTTAACATCTTCCCTCTCGAGACCCAGTCATCTTATCAAAAGTTAACTTGAGTTCCTCAAGACTAGAGGCTGCTCCTAGCTAGGAGTACGAGGTAGAATCGTCTGCTCCGGTACAGTTGCATGACGGGAACACATCCATTAGCTTGGACCGTTTCTCAGTCAGCTCTACTTGGGCTTCATTAGAAAAATAGGAGAGATTGTCCTCAAATACCTGGGCTGCAGTAGATTTCACAAAGCTTGTAATATCCACCCTGCCATTATCAAAATTCTTGCACTTTACCCCTCTCTTTGCAACCATTTCTCCAGTTTTCTTCTTGTTTGCCATCTTGCTCTTTGGAATGATTAGATTTTGCCTGATGAAATGTTCACTGGACAATGAAGATCATTTATCAGTCCAAACTATTTTCTAAGCAGACCCAGCAACAACTTCATCTTGAGCACTTTACAGACATCTTCATGTGAAAAGAAGCACTTCTGCTTCTTTTGAATACAACCAACTTCAACATCTCAAGATGATCTAAAAATTATAATCAAATTGAAGAAATTAGTTCATAGCTTTGAGTGAAAGGTAGAACCAAGTGCTTAACTAGTATCTGTTAACTTCTGTGACAACCAGCCCATAGTGCTGATGGCTTTTATAAAATATGACCTTTAATCAGCAATTTAAATACAGGAGCCTGGTTTTTTTGCTGATTAAGTGAGGTTTGCCATTGATAAATTAATGATACCATACTATGGGCGTCAAATGCTACCAAACTATTCAAACATGGCAAACCTGTTCGCTGTGGATACAAAGTTAGGGTGCTGTGCACCTCTGGTGGAGCTGGGTTAACTTTTGAACCCTATTGTGGAGCAGCAACTTGAATCCAAATTTAGGACAGGGTTTGAATGTGGTCTTAGATTTGGTTAGTAAATTGAAAATTTCTAAAAGAAGTGAACTGTTTTTTGATAATCAGTTCTCCACCTTTCCTCTACATGAACATTTATCAGAAATGAAGATTGGTGGATTTGGAACTGAACAACAGGAAACCTACTTAGATTTTCTTTAAAAAAATCAGTTATCTGCATGTTCTGGATTCAAGGAACAAAGACATGATCTAAACAGCCAATGGATTGTCACCCTAGAAACCAGAGGTCGTCGATCTCCTAAGGACATCGATAATTACCAGTGGGACGTCCGGCGACTTCATATTTTAGGTGTTGAGGACGTTTAACGCAAAGATTCTTACGTCCTCACAACCTAATTTTCTAAGTCAAAATGACGTCACTTTGGACGTCCAAATGAACAAACTTTTGACTTCCAAATGACCAAACTTTTGAAGTCCAAATGACCAAAGTTTTGACGTCCAAATGACCAAACTAGTCACTTATATATCCTATTTAATAACCACTGAACAGAGCCTAATTTATTCTATTTTTACTGCTACCCTTTAACCCTACCCCCCTGGTATTACATTCACAACATAACTGTCCTTCTGTTGTTGCTACCCCGACCCCACTCGGCAATGCCACTGCCCCCCCCCCACTTGTATAACACCATGACCACCTTACCCCCCTCCTGAGGTTCATAATGCACTTTATAATCCAAATACAATTCATTCATCAATTCATACTTACACACTAATCTATACCTGCTAAATATGCTGTAGAAAAGAACTTCTATTCGTCACAAAATTCACAATGTACTGACATTGATTTTTCGGATAACATTAATTAAATTCGTAAAATCAAAGTTTTCAAAAATGTTATTTTTCCAAATATTTGGATATTATATCTCACAGATCAATTCTTTGGAAAAAAATTATATTATTTGAAAATTTGAAAGTTATGACCAGTTTGGTAATCTAACCATGCAAGACCCAATCTGACTTAAGGGTCAAGTTATGAACAGTTAGGACCTAAGTGGATTGGTCAGGTTAAGACCAGTATGAGACCAGTTTGGTAATCTGACGTAACCTGACCTAACCTGACCTAACGCAACCTAAGGGGACTGGTCATATTGCAACCAGTTTGGTAATCTGACCTAACCCGACCTATCTCGACCTAATGGGACTGTCTCGCAACGTCGCTGGTTTCTAGGGAAGCTCTGAGAGCATAAATGAGAAAACTACTAGAAGAAACTGCAAAATGTGAAGTCTGAAAGGAAAGGCTAAAATGATAGCTGTTCATCCTTGTTCAAAATGGGAAGTGCCTTTGCATGTAGCATCCTTTTATGATAGAATTATTCAAATTATTGGTGTGACCTTTTTAATTTTAAAATTCAAAAGTTTTCTTTCATTAGACAATAATAGTTTTTATATAAATTTGAAATTTTTTCAGTTATCAATTTATGCATTGCTCTAAATTTCTCTTTTTACTGGAAACAATAGTTTATTGCAAGCTTATTGTAATATTTAAAGAGTTTTTTTCATGGGTTATTAAGTTTCATAATAATCTTATTTCACTATTTGGAGTATCAAATTGGAACCAGAGCATAGAAGATTCAACATATTTTATTTATCTATTCTTAATGAGTATTTCTTATTTTTTTATCCAATTTAAAGGAAAAATGACATTTTTTATACATAGCCATTGCCCAGTTTAGTAGCTCAATAACGCCAACTGGTATCACAAAATACAAAATTGGTGCACAATTAAACCAATGGATAGTCCTAGGCAAAGTTCACACTGTAATGATAATAAGAATCAATGAATTTTATCATAATTTATTTTTTAAAATAAACTATTTCCATAAATTATTCTTCCTATTGTAGAGATGTTCCAAACCAAAAACTAAAAACATTTCTTAACCCTTTTGCTGCTGGGGGATAGGGAGATCCCCATGCATACTATAAATATATATATATATATATATATATATTTATGACAAGTAACTGATTAAATTTTTTCTTAATGTAATAATGTAATGTAATAAATATAGTTTTTAGATCTGTAGCTTTGGTCACAAAAAAGTTTTAACATAGACCAGACTTTTTACTGCTCTGAAGATGAACCCTACCCAATCATTGGGTCCCAATGTGGTATCTTACTATTCCTCAGAAGTAAAGAAAATTCAATGTGATAATGTCAAAAGTGAGAGTTCTACTGCAAACAATCTAGAGGGGGGGGGGCATCAGATTTGAATTAAATAATAAAAAGCCACCCTAACAGAAATAAGGTTATTAAAATGTTTAGTTCCTAAAGTAGCAGTTGTCAGACCAACTCCAAAAATTATAAATGGAATTGTCATATGCTGAAGGTTCAGTGTTTCCTTAAGAAAAAATTTAAAGAAACTTTCTCTGGGTGTGGAATGATTTTATTTCTTTAACATTTGATGATGAATTATCCTCAAAACTTAATTACCACATTGTGTTCTTCTGGAATCATTTCTATCAACATGGTCAGCATCTCATCAGAAACCCTTGATAGTAATATGAAAAGTTTAGGTCCTTTGATAAGAAAATCTCAAATAACTCTTAACCTTAAAAAGGCAGAAAGACACAGTTTAATCCATATTTTAAACATACATACCTGCCTTGATATTTTCTCCTGATGTATCTAACATTGTTAGCATGGTCAAAAGGACCAAGCCAAGGATCTTTCAATGTAGCCCTTTCATCTGCTACTGTGAATCCAGCCTAAAGTAAAGTGTTAGTTTCTGAAAAAAAAAAATTTTCTCAAGAACTCATCCATTGTTGCCAACCATGATTGAAAAAGCCAGGGTAATGAGTAGAGGTTTTAGTCAAAAAATCTTGTGCACTTTTTGGATTTATGCTTGATCCACTCTTTTTCTTAATCTCAAGATTAAATAATACTTGTTCTCCTCTTGATATTGATCTCCAGTTTAATTAACCTATCGGGATTATTGATATCCCATTCTAAATTATGTAAATTAAAATTTAATTTTTAACAGTTTACCATTCCAAATTTAGACCTTGTTTTATTACTCTTTTGATGACCATGACTAAACTCTTTTTAGTATTATTATGACATGGTGGGTTGGTAAGTGTGTTAGACCAGTTTTTGTACAATCACTAAAGTTAAACACAAATTCTACCCACCAGAAAGTGGATTAGTTTCCACATTGGTTAAACTTTACACCTCATACAACATATCAAGATTCCTGGATATGAACCCCTTTTGCAAGGTTCCTCAAGGAGACCCTTATTAGCCTGGATCACGGATGTACACCCCGATGAGCAAGATTCCTGGAAGTTAAGCGATGTTTCTAGAAGAGAACCTGTATTTGCATAGTTCCTGCAAGCAAATCTTAAAAGCATGTTCCTGGATGTGAACCCCAATTAGCAAAATTCCTAGAAGAGAACCCCTGTTAGGGTAGATCCTGGATTTTAACCCCGATTAGCATGGAATTGGAGAATGAACCCCTAGAAGCTGGTTCCAGGAAGAGATCCCCTTAAGCATACATCCTGGATGTGAAACCCTATCAGCATGGTTCCTAGATTGAACCCCAATCAGCTTGGTTCCTTGGATGCTCCTCACTTTAGGCTGTAAACTGGGCTTTTATATATAACTCCTGAATGCCACAGTTTACCTTTGTTGTCAGACAAAATATATATTTAAACCTACTTTAACCCTATCCCTGCTGGGGTACTTGAAAACCAGGATACGCTGGGGGGGGGGTCAAGTTGACCCCCCCCCCCTCTAAATCCCATGTTTTATGTCCAAATATGACAAATGATACATCATTAGAAAGCTCTTGTGCTCTACTTTTAGAATCTGCAAAAAAATACACATATCAACATTTTAAAGCTCATTAAAAAGATGATCAAAGGGAGGCAGAATACAAAATTTGTTCACAATTGAATGTTTGGAGATTAGTAAGATTAGTAGTCTAAATTTCCTAAATTCCAAAATTTTACTACATGTTATAGATTTGTATCACACTTAGGAAAAAGAGCATATGTCAGTATGAATAGGGTTAACTGACACATTATGCATACCATTAAACTTTGATTAATATTTATACTTTATACAACCTGATAACAGATTAAAACATGAAGGTCAAAGACCTCATTCCAAACGAAATTTCTTCCCAATATCATTGCTTTGTATTTAGCAGGTGTTAGTTCTTCCTTAAAATAAAGATTCCATTTAAATTTATAATGTCAATATGGAATTTGTGAGACAAAAAAGTTTTTTTAAGAAGAGTTATATTTTTAATTAATTTGTGTTTAATAATGTTGAATTGGATTCTGAGAATATCAGGATAAAAGTTAATATTTTTCATTTAATACCTTCTAAATAGCAAAAGTAAATAAATTGCTTTACACTTCATGGTAAAAATTATTATGAAAATTACCTGTCTGCTGAAATGAAACAGTATAGACTTGTTCATCCTCAACCAAATTTGTTCTAACATTACCTTTTTAACATTCTAACATTACCACTTGTTCAACTATTTCAATTTATAACTATTTGCTCTAATAATCACCTGGTAGTTGGAACTCAAGAGAACAACATTTTTTTCCTGTAGAGCAACTTGAATACCTTCCTCCTTATCATAAGAAATTCAAAATGCTTCATTTTTAAGTTTTTTTTTCAATCGACAAAAGTACCATAGTGTTGAAAATGATGACATTTTTATTAAGTTTATGTTGATCTGGATGTCTTTGAAAGTATGGCGTTATATAATTACTGTACTGTATTACCAAAACCTAAATAGTTGTCAAAAGTTATCAAAGAAAATAGAGGAAGCAACAATACAAACCAAATTTTTCTCAACTATTTGAGCAGAGGTATCAGCAAAGGTTTCCATGACTGGTGATAAAAGAATTGCTCTAAAACAAGATGAATTTTGTATTGTAGTTTAATATTAAGGTTAGAGTAGAGAACTGTTATTTTAAAAACAGCTAAAAATAGTTTTCAAGGACTAGAGATGGGACTGTTTAACTTTTTTTTCCTTTTGTTTATTCACAGTTAATGAACAACCCGTTTGAGTGTTTTTTTTATCAATCGTTAAAAAAAAGATTTTGTTCTTCAAATTATTGTTTACTTTCCATCTATTTTGATTTGTTTTCTCATTGAATGATTGTTCAGTAAAATGGTTGGTTCATTAAAATCATTTGTGACTTTCCATCAATTACAAAACAATATAATCCTTTAGGGACAGTTTGTTCCTTTCAAAAGCCATGCCAATCTTTAACTATGGTTTCCATTGGTATTCCAGGTTTCAGTTTATGTAAGGAAATGATCCAGAAATTTTCCAATGGGGGAAGGAATTTTCCACGGAGCCAAGATTTGAACCCTAGCGACCCTTATCTAGAGAGCTCGGATAACGGTGCTTTCAACGGCAGAGAAAGCAAACTGAACGTCCATTTTGTTTCCCGGAAAAAGGTTAGTCTTGATGAAGGATCGGAGGAGAAGGGTCGTTAAAATCTCCAGTAGCTCCAGGAGGAGAATTATCTTCATCTATGATTCCAGGATTAACTTCGGTTGATCCTCAGTTTGTATTTCAATAATAATGTAAAATAAATGGCTGTACAAAGTTAGTGCTTTAATCGATTCAACCTGGCTTGTTATATTGAGTTTCTCTTTGTAAAGTTTCCTTTATTGAGTCCTTCATACGTGAGTTTCTCACCAAGTTTTTAAGGTGACAGTCTAAAATTTTCGAGTACGCCTTTAAAAAGTCCATTTAGCCAGATTGTTTCGATTACGGGCAAAGCCGCTTTTGTATATCGGTTCACCACTAACTGGTAAACAAAGACGACTAAAGAATATTCTGTCAGAAAACCATACGCGGTATTGGGATTTATATAATTTAATTGTTTTTATTTTTCCAGAAAGTGACTTTCACAATTTCCCGTTCATTGTGCTTGTTCTAAGTGACCAAAGAAGGTAAAAACAACAAAGCAAAATGACAATTAATTACACTCCCATTCTGACAATTAGATAAACATGCAGTATGACTCTGACAGGCCAGTGTAAGGGGTTATTTTCCAGTGTTAGAAGAGACAAATTTGACAGCGCGAAAATTGTTTATGTTTACAATGTATAATTTTTTTCATTGTTTAGAATGAGTTCATTGGATCTTGACCCCGGGCATAATGGAGGCAGAAGTGAAGCTGTGGTTCACATGTTGGCTCACGGAAAAGCAAGCAGACGTGAATCCTGTAGATGTGATCGCAGAAGAACCGATCAAACTGGAGGCAGCTCTGACCTCGGAGGATGTCCAGATCTCTGAGAAGTTCAGAAAAACGGTCTTGTCTCAATTCCAGGCTGAAGCTCAAATATCCGAAGCTCAACTGAATCAAGCATTGCAGTTGAAAACGGCGGTGGATCATGTAGACCGGACAGTTCTTGAACAAGAAGATTGGGTAGATTTTCCATTCAGAGAAATTGTTGGAGAGGAAGTGAAACTGATCTCCAAGGTTAACAGTACACTGACGCAGAATGATTTTTCTACACAGTCCATGAAATCCTAGAGGACAAAATTTACAGGAATCATTGATTCCTCTTTCGTCACGGGACGGTTAGCAAGACTAGCTATAGTATGGAATTCATGTTCAGATTCTACAAAGAACAGGATCCTCTCCATGGGTATTGGGGAGAGGGCCAATGCAGAAGACTTAACTTTTAAAGATTTGCTAAGGATCATTTGTATCCTCTATGGTTCCCCGTCGCATTCCGAAATTGCGCTACAGAGTATCTACAGCGGAGTGCCACAGTCTCAGAATGAGTCCATTCCAGTCTACCTGGAACAGATCAGATGCCTGGGTGAAGATGGTTTCAGGCTGGCCGTCCGTTGGACGTTAAATAATTTCCTGAAGATAGTTCAGACTGTGATCTCAGGGCTCAGGTCTAAACCTCTATCGCAGTTAGTGGCTGGATACATGATATCCATTCCGTTCCAATTTCATGTGTTCCAGGAAACAGTTTTACAGTTCCATACGAGGATTCCGAGTCAACATGCAGTTGTAAACTCAAATCAAGTAAATGTCCTCAACAATAAGAGGCCAGTGCGTTGCTTCAGACACGAGGGGGGACACTACCTTAAAGAGTGCCCCATCCTCATGTGCAGGAAGTGCAGTGGACAACATGATTTCAAGGATTGTACCCTGCCCAAGGAAAAACTGGTGTGCACGAAATGTAGCATCTGCGGTCACACTACGAAAGCTCATTGTGGACCGGTCACAAAGAAAGTGTCCACGAACATTCTGCAGCCAGCAGAGGGGTCCAGCAGTGTGTTTAAATGCAGTCCTGGAGATGCAGCTACCTCCTTTTTAGACGGAACGGTCAATATCATTCAGACAGGTGGCAATAGTTTTGTTTATTGTCCCAGAATTCTTATAGATACTGGGGCGCTTGTGCCATCAGGCATTGCAATTTCTGATGTTTTTTTTTTTACAAATCATCTCGGGGTGACCTAAGTAGACTTAAACCATCGCATTTAAAGTGGGCTAACGGGGCGACTGACAATGCGAAGATGACAACGTTAGGTGAAGTTTGTATACAGGTAAGGTTCAGTAAGACTAATATAACATTTAAGGGACAAGCAGTTGTGTAAGAAAATTTATCTCTGCCTATTATATTAGGGGTAAATTTTCTTAAACACAACAGTTTTAGCCTGTTTCTTACCCCCCAGTTAGCACAGCTTGTGTATAACCCCTCCCTTTAAACCCAAGATTTAATTGCAAATGTGGTTGTAAACAAGTTAACCCCCCCCCCCCTCTCGCTCCAGATCAAGGTATAAACTAAACGGACAACAAGTGGGGAAATTTCTCGTCCTAGAAATAAACCCCCTCCCAGCCCCTATTCTTCAGGATATCGTGACGGAAAAGATGGAGCTCCAATTCTGTTGATCAGATCTTCAGAATGTGTCTGGATTCCAGCAAAACAGCACATGGAATCAGAGTCGCTGTGCCAGTGAACCCTGCAGCAATCATCAGTATCCAACCTGTGGACCATGGAAGCCTGGATGGAGCGGTTTTGGGCATCTACAGACACAAAAACCTACAGAAGGATAAGTATCTAAATATTTTATACTGTAACTTGTCAGAGAATTGCATTGTTTTAATGCCAGGGGAAGTTATATCGCATGGGTCAATGTGTTAGGTCGAAAAAACACCTAAAGATGTAGTTATTAACGCAGTCAAACCTGGATTTAAAAGTAAAACGGTCACGGACAAATTGTGGGCTGATTTAAATCTAGAAAACAATGACATTCAAAAACAAGTTCCAGAAATCAGTAAAAATTTGTATACAATGTTGAATGATTAACAGGATGTTTTTACCAATGACACTTGTCATGTGGGCAAAACATCCTGGGAAACATTCAAAATTGAACTCTTGCCTGATGTGAGACCGGTCAACCAAAGAGTGAGACCACTGGCCCTCCCCCCCCCCTCCGAGAAAAATTGAAAAAACAATTAGCAGATTGGCTTCATGATGAAGATTGAACCTTCTAAGTCTCCCTGGTCATTACCTTTGATATCGGTCACGAAGAAATCGGGCAAGATACGTTGGTGTGTGGATTTTAGTGCGGTCAATAAGGTCACGGTGACCGATTCCTACCCTACCCCACATATCAGTGATATTTTAGAATCCCTTGGTTCTTCAAAAAATGTTCTACATTGGATGCAAGTAATGCCTACAATGCAATCCCTGTAGAAGAAAAGTCGCGCCCTTTAACTGCATTTGCCACTGCCTTTGACCTTTGGCAATTTGCTGAATGCCCTTAGGTCTTAGAAATGCAGGGGCTGCTTAATGTCGTTTAGTTCAGGGCCTCGTTGATATGCTGGGGCAGGAGGGAGTCCTAGCTTATCTGGATGATTTATTGTTACACACCAGCAACCCTGAATCTCATCTTAAATTGCTTAAATTAGTTTTTCAGGCTCATAGAGAGAGTGGGATAAAACTCAACGCTGAAAAAACACATTTGTTTAGGCAGGAGGTTGAGTACTTGGGGCATTTAATCTGGGAGAAGGGGAATACACTTTTGCCGTCTTATGTAAATAAAATTACGGAGTGGCCCCTGCCTACCACGGGAAAAGAGCTTGCAGCATTTTTGGGTTTTTTTGGTTATTATATGGATTTTTTACCTGGCTTTGCCACAATTACTGCAAATCTAAATGAGGTTAAAAACAAACCGGTTCTAACTTGGTCTAAATCAATGACAGAAAATTTTAACACTCTTAAACAAATGTTCGTAGCAGCACCGTGCAGAGCCCCCCCAGATTTTGCTCCGGGGGCTATCGTTCATCTTAACCATTGATTTTAGTATGAATGCAGTTGGAGCTGTACTGTCACAGGAACAGAAAGGAGCTGAAAGATTTTTAGGTGTAAAGGGTCGAAAGTGTAGGCCCCCCACATAACCAACCGACGTCGACTTGACGTCAGGGCAACGTCGTCTTTGGTTGGGCCGACGTTGGGGCAACGTCGATCTGAAGTCGATTTAAAGTTGTTTAGACGTCGCCTTGACGCAAAACGAACAGTTTTCGACCTTGTAGCGACGTCACCTTGACGTCTCAGCGACCTCTTTTTTACCAACCAAACCTATACTGGCGTCGTCCCCCCATCTATAACCGACCTGCTACGACCTTCCACGACCAACTGTCAACCTACTACAACTTCCTCTCTACCTACTACAGCTTTCTTTTGACCTAATACAATTTCCTTTGGACACAACTTTCTTTCAACCATTTAATAAAAGTACTAACCATATACCCATCAATCAATTGCAACTATAAACAAACCTTCAGTTAAAAAAAATGTTGTTGCTTTGAAATATTTTATATTAAAATAACTTAAATTGATTAGAAACAAACATAATTCAAACACA